AAATTATTGAGCTTATCCTAACTTTGGTCAAAGTAATTGAGTAACTCAGGCACATAATAAAGGCACTTCCTACATACACATGGGGACAAATGTGTAGTTACGACCCTACCTTATTTCCTTTGTTTTATCCCACAACATGTAGCCACCTTATGATCAAAACAATTCCAATATATTATAAAGTTAATCACATTTTTGTTTATCACAAAATTATTCAATAATGTTTAATGACCATGAGCTATCATCTAGAGTAGTTATATTGAAGTCTTTACATCAAAATCAAAATTTACACCATGCATTGTATTTACACTATCATCACAATTAAATTATACAGTTAATCAAGGTCAATTAGCATTTATTCAATTTTAAATTTTTCATGGAAGCAATGTAGCATTCCTAAATGTTTCAATATGCAACATAAATTCTCCATTTCTTTTTACTCTTCACTAAACTAAATTTTCTCAAAATGTTATAATAGACACACTTTATTAGATTCAATTCAATATAACTATTATAAAATTTAAAGTTACCTATCAACACATATATACAAAATAACTTAAAAGAAATTACCTAAACTCGAGTTCACTCAAAGAATCTAAGATCTTTCAATATGAAATATTCTAGCTAACTCAAACTTGAAAGCAAAATGAAGGAATCCCTTAGGAATTCCTGACTAATCTACAACAATAATTTAAAAAAATTAGAGTTGTATAAAATTTATATTCAACTATCTACTGCTTTCAAGTTACCTCAAAATATTTCTGGAAGTTATATTTAATTTTAAAACTACTCTTATTAATCTCTAATCAATTTATTTTATTCGTTTCTGTCTTTAGAGCTACTTAAAGATTTCCCAAGATAACTCCAAATCATATTAATCATTACTTTTTAACTTTAAAGTACTTGTGAGCGTGCTTTGTAAGTCATAAACATCCAATAAGTAAAATTTTCATTCTAAAATAATTAAAATAAATTTCAATTAGTCATGATTTATTTCCTAAATTCACCTGTAATTTTATTATGGAGAGGTTTAAAAATAATCTCTAAAACTTTTAGAATTACTTAAAGTAATCTAGAGTTTTCTAAAGTTATGTTCCACCATCCCAAAATAATTCTAAAGTCACCACTCAACATTTCTACCCAGTCTTCAAATCTCTCTCCAATTTTAAATACACTTAAATCTAGTAATTTTAGTTCAAACAGGAATTTTAAAATATTTACGTAGCCTTAAAAAATCTCAACCCACTCTGAAAATATCCCAATACAGCTTCTTAAGAAATTTTCCATACGCGAACCTCTCCCTTTCGCTCTCATTCTGTCGCGGCGGCCGAAAACAGGGAAACGTTTTGTGAAAACTGGGTACATATTTTTCAAATTTTTTAGCACTGTTATATTGTTTTTTTTTAATTTTTTTTAATATACTATTATTATTTTTTATCTTATATTTTTTTTGTATGCATCTTTTTTTCCTTTAATTTTCACATTACATGTACGCGTGTGTACCAGAATTATTATTTTCTCCCCATATTTTTTTTGACACTTTAAACCCTCTAGTATAATTTATTTACTATTAACTAGGGTTCTTCAAAAATCAAAAATTGAATCTTAACTGTATTTGGTGTCAATATAATTTAAATAATATTTAAACAAGTATAATTTTTTTAAATAAAATAGTTAAGATCCTATTTATTTAATCTTACTTAACATTATAAATTTCTCTTTTCTAAAAAAATATGTTAAAATTAAATCCTAAATTTTTTTTATTGAGAAAATTCTCCTTACTCAAAGAATTACATGGTAGACTCAAATTATTATGAAATAATTTCTTCCTAATTTTAATTGGAGATAAATTAATATTTTGGTCCTTCAATTATAATTTGTTGTGACTCAATCTTTCAACTATAATTTATTGTGATTCAATCCTTCAATTTTTAACTTGCTTATAACTTGATCCTTTTTTTATTTTTTTAAAAATTATCTTCATCAAATAAGAGAGATAAAAGAAATTTTCATATATTACTCTAAAATACCCTCATTTTGTTCTTTGATGTGGGATCTAAACTAAAAAAAAAAAGAGAATTAATAAAAGTTAAGAGATTAAATTATAAATAAGTCAAAAGTTGAGAAATTGAGTTGTAGGCAAGTTATAGTCAAGAGATTAAGTAATAGCGAATTATAATTGAGGTATTGAGTTATAAGTAAGTTAAAAATTAAAAAATTAAAAAATTAATTTTTTAATTAAGTTTTGAAATTTAAGATGCTACAATTTTTTCCTAAATCAAACTATCTTAAAGATGACCTTGTCTTCTTTTTAAGTTCAGGAAAAAAAAAAAAAAAAAGTAGTAGGAGACTTCTTGAGGATGAAAGATGCTATAAGTGAGGTTGACGGCAGGTGCCGACTATGAGGAGAAGCAGATGTTGCCGTAGTGTTGGGGATTGAGGCGCGTGAGGAAGGGCATAAAGAGAGGGGGGACGAGATGACAGAGAGGGGGTGAGATGGTAAAAATGAATACAGAGTGGGACCCATAGTTATATTTTATTATTAAAAAATATTAACAAAGCTCGGCCAGGCAAAAAGTGAAGCCTGCTAGCAATAATAGAAGGCAAGTTAAGGATGAAGTGATTAAAAAAAAAAGGGTTTTTAAAATTAAAGATATTATTAATTATAGTTAATTTTAAGGTTTTTAATAACCTTTCACATATAATTAAGGGTAAAATTTATAAATAAGATCATACTTATAACCTTATTTTAAGTTGGTTCAAAAAATTTTTTATTATAAATGAATTTGAATTGATATAAAAAATTTTAAATCAAACAAAAATTGGGCTTTCAATATTTTAAATTAAAATGTGGTGACATTTCTTTCTTCTAGTTTAAAATATAAGCATTTTTTTAACAAATTTAATTTTAAAATATAAGCAGTCTAATACATATAAAAAAATTATTTTACCTATTGTATTTATTAACTTAAATATTTGTGTAAATGTATTTCTTACTCATTATAGAGTGCATTGGTAATTGAGATTGGGAGTAAAAAGAAAAAGTAATATATATCTTTGTGAAATGAGGATTTTATTAGTATGTAATTTTCTTTTTCAAAATTACTTATATTTTACTCCTTCTGTTCAAAAATATAAAAAAATTTTAACCGAATCTCACGTTACAATAAAGTAGTTATCTATTTTTAAATTAATCCTATATTTTTATATTTATCTCTATTAAACATTCTATAATAAGTATAAATTCATTCATCAATAGAGTATTTTTTAAAAAAAAATAATGATTATACTTCAAAGAGTTAAAAATGCTATTTTTTTAAAAAAATATCTTATATTTTTAAATGTAAGGAATAGATCGAATGGATATTCATTATTGTACATTCATTTATTGCTTTGCTCACTATTCCGTCTAATTTTCATTTTGTACACAATCTAATACCCTAACATCATTGATAAAAATGAAACAAATTTAATTGATTTTTAGTTTAAGAAACCCATAAATTAGGTCTATTCATAAAAATTTAGTCCGGAGTTAATTTCCAAGTCGTGATTGGTATTAAACATAATTTATTTATTAATTTTTTTAATAATGAGATGTTCCAATTAGCATATTATTTTCTTTTGTCAAAATTTATTTTTACAACTTTTTATTAAAAAAAAACTCAGCGAAACACAATCCTTGCAAATATGCCAGACTCTGAGCCTACAAAATAAGCTGACAATACAATTGGAGAGATGAAGAGCTCGATTTGAGATTCATCCCTCCAATTCCTCAATCCTAATTGAACCCCTAGAAACTACAAGAGTCACCGAACAAACTAGAAAATGGGATGTCGACACGGCAACCCTCACAATAATCAAATCAAATGAGAGTGGCTCTTCGCATAGCAAAAGGAAACATTGCCAAAGATAACGTGAAAAGTGATGGTCCACTTCTCTTTGGCTTTTCCTCTGAAAAGGTTTCAGCCTTGCTATCCAATACCAAACCTTTTACCCCTGAGAAGCTCCACAAACCATGTTCAGGCATGCTTGACCATGGCTTTTAAAAATAAAAAGGTTTTTTGAAAATTTTTTAAAAGCCACAAGCTTTTTTTGAGTTTTTTTTTAGATTAAAAAGCAAAAGTACCCTCAAAATGTTTTTGCCAGAAAGGTGTGGCATACTAAAGGTTTTTTAGGGCTATATCGTCCCGAGACTTTTTAAAAGAGTGCAAGATATCCTGTCGTTAACCCGAACAAACGGTTGGCTGTTAACTCTCTTAGTTTAACCCAAAATTTACACGTCATACTCTCCCTCCCCTACCTATTCTTCTTCTCTCCCTCTCTTTGACTTATTCTCTCCTGTCTTCTTTATTAATTACCTTTTATTAAAATAAAATAACTTACTTTATAAATTATTAAATTAATAGTGATATTTTTATTTTAAATAAAATATTTAAATTATTTTTAAAAAATAAAAAAAAAAAAATAATATTATATAATTTATTTACTTTTCAAAAATTATATTTATAATTTTATTAAATTTTATTTTTTATATTTTTATTATATTAATATTGATGGTGTTAGTAGAATTAATTTATATATAGGATGGAAGGAAGTATTTTGTTCTTCTCTCCCGACCCGTCTCGCCAAGCCGCCACGTGCAATGGTTACTTTTCAAGCTGTCATCGTCTCCGTCTCCGGAATCTAAAGGGCTGGGTTGGGGTTGCGGCTGAAAACCGAAAACCAAATCCCATTCTTACCTGACTGACCAAAGAAGCCAAGATACAAGTACTTGTCTTGAAAGTTTTTAGCTGTAATTAAAAGTTATTTTTTTAATTATAAATATTACTCAATTATAAATATTATTTATAATTATAAATGTATAAAATTTGAGATTTAAAAATATTTTATAAATTTTATAAAAAAGTTTTTAGCGTTTAGTTATAATTTTTCTTTTTACTATACTAACTTATGAGGTGGAGCGGAAGACTAAGCACACACTTAGCTTTAACTTATGCTATGTCCAAATTCAATGAATGTGGTGACCGTTCGGCTTTTCCTAATTGCCCAAGCATATGATAAATTATGCCCTAAGCTTCCCTGTGACAGCAGAGGGATAGAGTAGCAAGAGATTGACCCCTTCATGACCCAATGTAAGCTTGGCTTCCCTTGCTGCCCTTTCACCCACTTCATCTTCAACCTCTGTGATCAATGGTGCGTATCCCCTCTGCTTATCTCTGATCTGTGGATAATATGCTTCATTCATGTATGCATCTGGGGTTTTTTCTTTAACCCGGTACAAATGCTTCAGTTTCCACCATCTTTCCGATCTGGTACAAAGCAAAGATTTTTTATACTCACATTCCCGGTTTTATGTTTGTTTTTTGTTCATGATCGTGCTCTGATAAAATTCTCCAGGGGGTGAGAGATTTAGGTTCTTCCATCCCAAATTCTCAGAAACTGTGATTCCAAAGTAATGATTATCGTGTTTGTTTTGGATTGGTCTATCTGCGTCGGTCAATAAGGACTTTATGCAGACAAATTTGGCTTAAGTTCTTTACGAGCTCTTTATGGTTCATTTAGTCAATCGCTAGCCCAGCCGCTGAAGATTAGAGATTATGACGGCAACATTAGTATTTTTTATCAATCGGATGCAATAACCTATATAAACGAGAGAGTCAATATGATCATTTTTCTTTCTTTCAGGGGCTTTTATGTCAATATTCTTCATCATATGCCAAATCCAAACAATTGGATTAAAGGTTTGTTAAACTCGTCCATGAAAGCTCTATTCGATTCTGTCTTTTCTTTCCATGCCCTTTCTTACACCTTACCACTTGTTAAGTGGGAAAAATGATAAACTAGACTTTTCTTCCATCCCGATTTGGTTATTAAAAAGGAGATATCTTAATTAAAATGCTCCAATATCCATGTCGGAAGTAGCCAAGATATGGTCTCAAATTCTTGGAAGACCCGTTGCCGGATTTTGTGTACGGACAGAACAATGACTGAACGTTATTTTCACACACAAAGTCATAAATTCTTTAAAAGTTGATTAATTATCATTAATTTAGCCTGTGGGATAGCATTCTCCAGACTGGGCTGTATATAAATAATACAAGATGTTAAATTTTAGAAACATGAAACAATTTTGCTTATAGAAGAGGCGTTTCCAATTATTTTATGTCACTTGGGTAATATATTATTCACAAATTGCCTCTTTGACTGCGACGGAGCCTCTATGAATTGTTGCCATATTAGTCTTTTGTATATGATATTGATTATTAATAGCTTAAGCTGTACTTAACCAGCGAGTATCACATGACTAGAAAATATTTTAGAACTCCTCATGCATGGCCACTATGATTGGAATATTTTAGTCTACACATTGCAAATGAGGATTGGTTCTTAATGAAAATCAGTATATATTGCCTTGGCAGGGCTTATTAGTGCTTTTTCTGTGGTTATTTATCAGTCCTTTTAAACAAAACTGCTGAGGGGGGAAAAATTTTAACTGCTTATTAAATTCTTCTGTAGAGCAATGATACATAGAGGATTTTTTTTTTTTTTTTAAGCAGTCAATTGCCACCAATTCAAAAACAATTTGTACAATATCTGAATCAGATATTTACTCAATATGAAAGTGCAACCACTGCTGCTGATATTGTCCCTTAATTCAGTATAGGAATTTGCAAATGGGTTTGTTGCGTTGAAGATGAAGAAGCAACTCTGATCAGAAAATGGAGCCATGGAGGGCTTTAAGTTCCCATGGTGGCTCTTTCTGCAAGCAATAAATGAGAGTTTCTGCAGTTTGCTCACTCTTGCCCGTGCACACCGGAGAGGTCCTTCTTTGGATTATTGAGATGGAGTTCAAGTGCTTGTGCAGGGATCTCAAAGATGATGAACACATTAAAGAATCTCATAGGCAAAGTCAAGAAATAATTCCTATTGTTCAAGTGTATCTTGACATGTACTCAATCGGATACTTCTTGCTTCTTAGTGCATCTCGGTGCTGCTTTTATCTGTGGAAGTATTTTGTGCCTAACAATCAGAAAAGTTCCTGTTGAGCAATACAAGAGTTGATGCAAATAACAAGGAACTGTCAGTTCAGAGGATGCGAGATTCCTCTTGCACAAAAACTTTTGTTTCCCATATATGATACGAAGCCACTCAATATTACTGTGAGAAATGAGATTTCCCTAACGGCATTTACAGAAGCTCGTCAATGATAATGGAGATGGTGAAAGCACTGCAACCTCTTCTGCAGAACTAGGGTCACAAGCCAACAGCAGAATCTGAAGTAACGCAGTAGTTAACACCTGTGAGGGTGCTTCATAGAGATCCTACGTTCTCTTATCACTACTGAAAGAGAGTTCCCCTTGGCAACTTCAAAATCTGTCTCTTAGAATTTCTTGTAAGGAGATAGTGAAACTATATTTTATTTTAGCATTAAGTCAGAGAATATTTCTTTCTGTTAAAGTAGTAGTGCTGATGAGTTTTTCCTCGTTTCACTTTAAAGAAGAATGTAATAGACTCAAGTTTATGTGATTGAACTATATGCGTTTAATTTGATCCGTCCATATGACGAGAAAATTTGCTTAATTTTATAGTCCTTCATTCCTTTCCACTCTCCGTGATCCAACCTGCATAATTTCCAGATAGCGACTTCCTTGCCTTAGCTCGTTTGATTTAAAGATCTTAATTGCAAATCTAGAACAAACCACGGTACAACAACATTATCAGAACAATAACAAGTCTTGTTTTACTAAAAGTAATCGATTATATAAATTATACTATATCGTTATGCTCTATTATTAATTTAACTCTTAAAAATCTTATTAACTAAGAAATTTATGGAAACAATTTTTATAAGTTTTTTTTTTAACCTTCATCTAATTCCTTTTTATAATGTTCAAAATTATCTGTTTTATCCTCTTGATTAATACCTTCCACAATTTTTTGACACATGTCTAAATTATGTCAAATAATTTTATATCATTTTGCTCTCAACAGATGCTATACCTACTTTTTTTTATATATATTCATTTTAAATTTTATCTTTACATGTATATTAGCAAAATCATTCTAACATCTCATTTTTACTATTTTAATTTTATGCTCTCATTGCTCCTTTAAAGACTAATATTCACTTCTATATAATATAGCAAATTTTATAATGATTTGATAATTTTTTTTAAGTTTATTAAATATCTCTTAATCATAAATAATTTCTTTAATCTTTTTTTAATTAAATTACTCAACATGTATTTTACATGTAATATTTCCATCTTATTGGATAATAGCTCTCTGAAGAGGAAATGTATAATTTTAAATCCTCTCCAAGAAGATAGAAAAAAAAAATTAAAAGAAAACACTCATGAAAGGAAGATAAAGATGAAAGAATATTAAGTTGCAGAGCAAACCATTGCTCATGGGAAAAATATTAAGTTCTACAAGCCTTTCAGAGGGGCTGCATCACTGCAGACTTTTCCAAGAGTGAATTTCTAGACAACATCATTACACTCTTCTCCATCTGACAAAGGAAGCTGAAATCCAGTATTGGAATTCCCCCGAAGAGCGATGAAACACGAGTACGGAAAAAAATCCCAAACTACCTCAGTAACGAGGGATGAGAAAACAAAAAGGACGGTGAGAATTTATGAGCATAAATACTTAAAAACTACAATCTTTTATAAATTGTGCCTTTCAGGCTTTCTTCTGCTTGACCGGTGACATGAAGAGAAATCGATAGACGGAAGCAGCAAGAGTAGCCCCAATGAAAGGACATATCCAATAAACATAGAACTGCTCCCAAGTGTTGTGCCTGTTGTTAATGTAAGCCCATCCAAATGCATTAGCAGGGTTCATAGAAGGTCCTGTATACGCAGAACCAGCAATAACCAGAGATACTGTTGCCACAGAAATCAAATAAACCTTCAACAGAGGGTTCTTAGGACCTTTAAGCATAACAAGAAGAATAGTCAAGTTGAGAGCGAAAGTCAACGCTCCCTCTGCTATGGCCCCGGTATGCAAATCCACTTTCAAGGAAGGGCCTTTAAGCGTGGATTTGTACTGGGTGGGGATGAGGTGCAGAATAGCACGAGCTCCGGCGACCCCGCCTGCCGCCTGAGCAGGGAATCGGATGGCCATGGAGTTCAGAGAAGAGTCGGGTCGGAGCCCGGCGGCATAAAAGGAGACAGTGGTGGAGGGGTTGAAGCTAGCGCCGCCAAGGATTCTGCCGATGAGACTGATAGTGAAGACCAGAATAGTGGAGATGACGGTGGTGATGAAGAGGCCGGCGAGCGAAGAAGGGTGGAGGTCTAGGAAGGAGGCAACTTGAGAACTGAGGATTCGGAGAGTTGAGACGCTGAAAACCCATATTGACGTTAGAATGGCGTCTCCCATGGCAGCCTTTACCAGCCCCATTCTTCTTCTTCAGCCTCGAAGACCCTCGCCTTCTCTTCTCTCTCCTATGTTCTGATGATGGCTAAGAAGTGGGAAACTGGAGAAGGAGAGGTGAAGGTCCGAAGGTGAGGAAGCAGAGCTCCAGACCTCCAGTGAGCTCGCACTGCACTTACTGCCGTTCTGCGGCTAGTAATGAAGGTCCTAAGATAAATAATGTTTGGATTTTAAGAATACGAAAATAAAATGATTGGATCTGATTATCTGTCAAAATTTCATTTGGACGGCACAGGATACCCGGAATTTGCTTTGAGAGAATCTCAACAAAGGACAAGAAAATAAAAATATTTATCAGTGGACTTCTAAAAAAATTTAAAAATCTCGTGAGTTTTTTTGAACTGGACAGAAATAAAATTGTTTGCTGAAAATTTCAAAATATCTGTATGTAAAAAAAAAATTGAAAAATTTATTAATCATATAATTTTATTTATTAATCACATAACACCTGCTAATTATTTAACTTTATTTGTTGATTTATAACTCCTTAAATTTAACTACATCACGTGTTAATTTTTTAATTTTATTTATTAATTCTGTAATATCAATTGTTAATTTCTTAACTTACTAACTTAACTTGTTTAATTCATTAATTCAGAATGCAACTAAATTATTTATTAATTATATAATTTTATTTGTTAATTTTTCAACAATACTAATTAATTGCCATCATTATTTGTTAAATGACAATTAATATTTTATTCATTATTAAACTTATAATAAATTCATTACTTTTAAAATTATTATCTTGAATTGTAAACTACATAATATTACTTATTAATTAAATAACGTTACTTAATAATATTTGTTAAGGATTGACAAGTAAAATTAAGTAATTAATAAATTTGGTTGTGTAAAAAAATTACAATCTTTTTAATCAATAACTTTATTTTAATTCAATCCAAAAAATTTATAAATATTTTTTATATTTTTTTAAAACTCACTAATAAACATGTCTCTTTATTGATCTCTAGTCGAAAGTCTCCTACATACTTTCCTGCTATGTGCACAGCACAAAACGTCGAGGGTTGACTTTGATCTTCTATATAGAGGGGGGGAGAAAGAATCACTATAAATCTAAATTTTTAGATTAAAATTGATTGTTTAGATTTAATATTTTTGAAAATATAAATTTAATCACAGGTCAAAAAAAGAAAATATAAATTTAATTTTAACGAAAAGGAACAATGAAATATAAATAGTAAGGAAGAGAAACCCAACTTGAAATGCCAACCCACCCTTAAGGAGAGAACAGAGAAGCTAGAGACCCTCAGGTCTCGTAATTTTACTATGATCATCTTAAATTAATATAATTTATACTTTTAAATTTATGAAAAGTATTAACGTTTATTTCTATTTAACGTCAATGTAAAATATAAATAAAGATCACTCTTTATCCCAAAAAAAAAAAAAGTAAACATCATTCTTTTCTTAATAAAAATAAACACCTCCAACTCCGACCATGTCTAGTCTCCGGTCAAAAAAAAAAAAAAGACTGTGTCTCGTCAATAAGAAATTAACTATAAAATTAACTGCACAAAAAAGTTTATCAGAAAAATAAGATTGAATACGGAATGAATGAGTAAAATATAAGATTTTTTTTCTTAAAAGATATGATATATCTGTAAATAATTAAAAAAATTATTATTATTACATACATTTGTATCGCACCATTTGATTTACAAAGTGTTCTCTTAATTTCATCTGGAAAAAAAAAAAAAAGTTTCTCCAGTGGAAAGAAAGAAAGAAATCAGGCCAGGAAAAGGATCGAAATAAATAATTCGAGAATTGGAGTATGCCACGTCGACGTCCCTAAAAAGTAAAAAACTCATCTATTTTGTTTTGGGCCAAGAAAGTACTGGTAGCTGAGACTTTCAGCCTTTTCATCTAACTCCTCCGGCCACCAGTCTTCGCCCTCGTGCCTATTTTCCTTTCAATTTCCTTCACATGTCAAATTAATTTTGAAAAAACATAATTTTAACTTGTACACTTTATTTTTAATCTCCATATTTTTTTATACTTTAAATTCTTACACTTATATTTTTTATTATTTTAAATTTTTCTAAAATTCTCGCACTTTATTTATAAAATAATTTAAAATAATAAAAAATAAAACTGTAAGGTCTCTAACACCCAAAAAAAATGTAAGGAGAGCAAAGTAAATGAATTAAAAATTATATTTTTTTCTTAATTTTTTAATTTATAAATCTCATTAGTAATTCTCGTGCTTTTTCCCTCAATTATCCTGCTTTTGTTAAATCTGACGTCAAGTTTAACTAATTACTCTCTTTGTTTTTATTTGTAAGATAAACTATTATTTGTTTACTTGTTATTTTATAAAAGTAAAATTATATATTTTAATAAGCATTCATTACACATTTTTTTAATCGTCCTTCATAATTTATATTAATGAAAAATAATTAATATATGTTTATGTTGATTAATATATGATTTTTTAGTCAATTTTTTTTATTTTTATACATAATTATTATAATTAATCAACTTTCTTAAACTATATGATACAATATTTTTCTTTTATTATAGAAACAAAGGAAATATGCTCTAAACACAAATTTCTGGCACTTTTACTTATTTTATTTACTATCTACATCCCAATTATAATATAATTTTAAATAAAATTATGAGCATTAATAAAATTTATTATGTATATTTTATTTTATTTTTTAAAAAATAAAAATATAAACTTTCAAAGATATTCTTTATTTAATATTCAATTTATAAAATAATATTAAAAAGAGATTATATAAAAAAATAATATTAAAAAAATATCATTACTTGTCTTCTTACTTTTTAGCTCATTTTTGCGGCTCTTTTGATGACGTTTTGTATGTTTGTCAAAAAAAAAAAGTGTTTTGTATATCTTTGATAAAAATTACGGTTCCTTAATAGAGGTAGTTGATGAAAGATTAGTACCATGACTTTGTACTCCTTTTGAATTAGTTATATACTATCATTTTTCATTTAAAAAAAATCTATTTTATTAAAGTATATTATATTGTGAATTATCCAATCTTCCCAAAAAAATATGTCATAAATTGGTACAGATGGAGTATTTAATGGATAGTCTGACTCTTCACAAAATTTCATCCAGGCTCCTCTGTTTTCAAGCAACAGTCACCTTAGATTTTGATTTTGGCTTTAACGCTTCCATAAAGAATTAATTATTTATTAGTTAAGCACTTTATTCTTCAGTAATGAAAGAGAATAAGAGAAAGCTGGCCAACAAAAATAAGGAAAGTGAGAAAAGTAGAGACGTTGAGATCTAAAATACTGGTTAAACAATACAGGAAAAAAAGAAAGAAAGAAAGAAAACTAGAAGAACGTGATGGGATGGATAGGGGTGTTTTTGTAAAGTGCTATTACATGTTGTTAGAGTTTGCTCAATTTGGACATTTTGAGGTCTTTGCAGATGTAATTAATAAAATTTTTTTTAAAAATATCTTTAATTATAAATGTAATTAATAAATTTTGTAATTAAAATATTTTGAGAATAAATATAAAAAAGTGTATAATTTTAAATATAATTAATTAATTTATTGAATTATATGATCTAGCTAAAAATATTTTATAATATTAAATGAAGGGAGTGTTAGAGATATCTTAGGGATTGCCACGTGCAGTTATGGTAGGAAACGCTGGTGGTTGGGATAAAAAGGAGGGTTAAAACAAAAAAAAAAAAAAAACAAAAAACAGAAACCAATGGGTTATCAAAAAACGTGGAATTGTTAGTGACCTTGTATGCTTAAGTCATGTTCTACCACCAAAAAAAAAAAAACCATTTTGACATGATGTTCTGCCCAACAAAAGCATACGTGATGCCTCTGCTCCTCTTTTTCCCCCATTCTCCCCTGTTTTTTTAATTCAAGAGAAACATTTATTATATTTTTTAAATTACCTCTCATAAAATTAATATTATTTTAGTACGTAAATTTTTGTTTCATTAATTAGAGAAATAAATTTAGTCCAAATGTTTTAATTTTAGACAAGATTATTATATTTAAATAATAAATATTCTTAAACTATATGAATTAGTTAACTTTTTTATATTTGAAAATAGCAAGGATATATTTTAATTACTTTTTTCACCTTTATATATAAAGTTATTTTGTCTTTGTATATAAGGATTGAATGATGTTTGATATTTTTAAATAATTAGATAAGTTTGTCATTTTCTTGAAAAATGAAAAATATAGTAATTGTGTTATACACACTACCATCACAATGTTACTAATCGTGACATTATTATGAGTAAAATTAAAAAATTATTATACTTTTATATTATTTTAATTAAAATTATTATACTTTTATATTATTTTAATTAAATAATAAATTTTTATTAATGTGTGGTATTCAGTTAAAAATATTTTATATGTAGAGAAAGAGGAGTAATGTGCACAACACAGTTGAATTGAAATGAATTAAAATATTCAAAAGCCATACTTTCAAAAAAAAAAATCCTAAAACCAAACTCTAATTTAATTATATTCTATTCTTGATACAAAAGAGGGCAAGGCCCAGCAATTGAAATTAGGATAGAGGGGATTGAGATCCGAAATTCTCTCTATCCACCAGGTTCCTCGAGTGAGGTGGAAGCGGAATCACATCCCGTCAGGGAGAAAATGGAGTCCTTCTTTTGCTAATATATCTGCCACATTGTTTTGCTCCCTTGGGATGTACGTGTCACATCCCACCCCAGACAAAACATAGAAGGTATCTGTACGTGAAGCAAACTGCCATTGCTATTCCTTGCATCATGAGTTAGACTATCAATAGCAAATTTAGCATCAGGCTTGAGCATCATTTTCCCGAGCCCCATATCCCGTGCGAGGCTTAACCATTTTAATATAGCTCACTCTCATCCGATTACCCCCACCTACATTAACTTTACACTAACTGCCAATCGAACTGTCGGCTTGATGGTGAGAGCAATTCAGCTCTTCTAGTCAAATCGCGAGCTCGAAACGGCGACGCAGAACTTCAAACCGGCCATGAGGGGGTTTTATCCGTACATCAAAGGTTTAGTCCATAAATTCGGTATTAGGATTACACCACTCGCACAAAGCGGACTCCCCAGACCACTTGCTTCGCCCTTGATTAGTAGGCAGCTTGTTCTGACAAGCCAGCCACGTGGAAGCTTTTAATCCTCTCAGCACCTCTCCATCTCCACATGGATTTGAAAATTGGATTATGAAGGTGATCCGGGCATTCCTCAATAAGGAAACAAGCGAATTGGGAATTCACTTGTGCTGGAGCGCTTCTAAGAATTCAAAGGTTAAACCCATAACACAACAACAAAAAAGGTTTAGCCCATAAATGGTAGCAGGGGACTCGTTCACACTGGTCAAACTCGATAGCATTATTAAACTCATAATGCATCACATGGAATTTAGAAATGAACAAAAACAATTTATTAATTAAATTTTATATTTGTATATAGATATGCTCCCAGATGTGCGCGTGTGCTGGTAATACCAAACCCAGTGACTTGAGTTTGCTTCATGCGCTACAGGAACACGTGCCGGCGGCCCGCCACAAACCACGCGGAAGCTCGCCTCGTCCACAGATGCATTACTGGATTATGGAAGTCTACTGCATTAAAAAAAAAAAAACGGAGAAGCATGTGACCATAATTTATTACATGTCATGATTTTTCAATTAATACTGGTGACTTGCGAGCAAGTCGAAATTGATTTGTTATCTACCTCATATTAATGTTTGGGAAAAAAAAAAAATCTGCTGCGGTCAAGGAGGCTCTGAGTTCTGGCACTCGCCATGAATGCGCACGAGACCTTGGTTATCCTTGCACCAGTTTAGCAGAGAAGCATTGATTATTTACCAACGTAAAGACTCTGAATGCAGTTTTCTCAAAACTACCCAGGCAGCCACTAGAACTCTTCATCGTTCCACAGTCGCAAGCATGTTTGTTGAGATAATATTTCTCGTCCCTATACAAGTAGTCTGGAGTAGACCATGCGAACTGAAGTAGACCATGCGACTACTCAACATTCTCTCACACAAAATCAGAGCAGAGATTCTATGGAAGAGGACATGCAGACACATGTTTAATTGTCTTGTTTATTTCTTTTTTTTTCCCCCTCCTTTTTTCATTTTTCTTCAATAAATCACGAGTGCCTGATTCGAGTCCGGCCCTCTTTATCCATTCAAACATAGCTGTTCCTAGCAATAAAAAATGAAGAGAACAAGAAAGTTAATTCTTCAATCTGACTAGAAGCTACGAATGATTAATTTAGAGTGTCAGTACACTGTGGCAATCTCTATTCATCAACTGCTTTATTATTTTTTATATTAATTTCTCTGAATCAGCGCCCACCTTCCAGACAAAGCAAGGGCACAACTTTTATTGACAATCTGCTTGCTCTAAGATTTTGGGTACAAAATTAAATTACCGGTGAAGATCAATAAAGCTCCCTCCTATTTTATTTATAATATACATTTTTAAAATTTATTTAATTTTATTTATAATTTATAACATGGCTTTTAGATGATAATTAATTTTTTTTAAATTAGCTTTTATAAAAGATAAAAAGTACTATAATACTATTTTTAAAATTTTGTATATAAAAATGTATTTAAAATTTTTATATATATTTTATATTAATATTAATAAAATTGTTAAAAATAATTTATAAACAGAACGGAGTATAAATGTGATAGAAAAGGGACGCGGTTTGAAGAAGCAGGATGCCGAGTGACTGAGGGACGCGGTTTGAAGGAGGGGTGGTGGTGGTGACTGACTGAGCGAGTGAGGACGCTCTTTTCAAGACCCTGGAGCAGTACAGCTCAGAGATCCCCACCCAGAAAGAAAGAAGGAGGCTGCTTCATTACCACCACACTGTTTAAGAATCCTCTGTTTCTTCTCTCTCCTCCACCGACATTATCTTATTTTGGGGGGGACGCCTCTCCAAAGCTAAAGAGGGAGCAACAAAAGCAGGTCAACAAGAGGAGAACTGAAGAGGCAAAGTTGAGGAACTATCTATCCCCTTTGCGGAAAGAAGCAAGAGAGGGTTTTGTATAATTGAAAAGATTTGAACTTAGTCACGCCTGGCTGAGGGAGGGAGGAAGAAACAGAAGAAAGAGGAGAATGGGTGTGTCTACGAGATTGGGTTGTCTCTTTCTATTAGTTTTGCTGGTTACATGCGCAAATGGGGATGACCCTTACAGGTTCTACTCTTGGAACGTCACTTACGGAGACATTTATCCTCTTGGAGTTAAGCAACAGGTGCATTTTTTGTTGTTCTGATGATTTTTTCCTTTCCTGGCAGTCTTCATCATCATGCTTTGTCAATCTTTGGTACGTGAAATGGCAGGGCATACTGATTAACGGCCAATTCCCAGGTCCACAGATCGAATCAGTGACCAATGATAACTTGATTGTCAATGTTTACAACAGCTTGGATGAACCTTTTCTCATCTCTTGGTTAGTCCTTGTCTCCTCTATCACTTTTTTCCCCCTAGCCTTTTCTCTTTTCTACTATATTCTTTTTCCTTCCGCATTCTTTACAACGACGAATAGATTATTTTCCAAAGTTCAATACAAACGATGTCCCTTTCACGGGTAATAACACGTGTTATTGTAGTTATTTCTTTAGATCTAGCAGCCATATCTGCTCGAACAGCCAAGGTATCTTTCATTTACTGTAACTCTGATATGAAGATGATGCTATTGTTGATAGGAATGGAGTGCAGCAGAGGAGGAACTCATGGCAAGATGGAGTTTATGGGACCAACTGTCCAATCCCACCAGGGAAGAACTTCACCTACGTCCTTCAAGTGAAAGATCAGATTGGTAGCTACTTCTACTTCCCTTCTCTTGCATTCCACAAGGCTGCTGGAGGCTACGGTGGCTTCAAAATTGCTAGCCGTTCTGTCATTCCTGTACCTTTTCCTCCTCCGGCAGGAGATTTCACCATCTTAGCAGGAGACTGGTACAAGAGAAATCACACAGTAAGTTGCTTGCTTTTTTCATAACCCTGACTTAGATTACGAACACTTGAACTTTGCATTGTAACTGTAGAACAGTCTTTATGTTCAAGAATCCAATCTTAACATGAAAAATTTGGTGTTTCTTGTTGCAGGATTTGAAGGCCATTTTAGATGGTGGAAGTGATCTTCCATTCCCTGAAGGGCTCATCATCAATGGCCGTGGTTCTAACGGCTACACATTCACAGTTGATCAAGGTACAGAAAAAAGAATTTCATTTTTTGTTTTGTTTTGCCTGCCTGTATCCACGTGCAAATGAAGCTATAATTGGACACTGACTGTTATGTGTTTTGTGGTTGGTCAGGCAAGACTTACAGATTCAGGATATCGAATGTGGGGCTGACGAGTTCCATCAATTTCAGAATCCAAGGGCATAAGATGCTGCTGGTTGAGGTTGAAGGAACCCACACTCTCCAAAACACTTATAGCTCTCTTGACATTCATCTTGGTCAGACTTACTCTGTATTGGTCACTGCAGATCAACCACCACAAGACTACTACATTGTTGTCTCCACAAGATTCACCTCCCAGGTGCTTTCCACGACCTCCATTCTCCATTACAGTAACTCAGCTTCCTCTGTTTCTGGCCCTCCCCCAGGTGGCCCAACCGCCCAAATTGATTGGTCTCTAGAACAAGCTCGATCTCTCAGGTATATTGCCCTAATTCTTTCGTGACCCAGTGGTAAATTTCTTGATTAATCCTCAAAGTTTAAGAAATTTGTGCATGCTGTATGTTAAACCAGGCGTAATCTGACAGCAAGTGGACCAAGGCCTAATCCTCAAGGATCATACCATTATGGTTTGATTAACACAACACGTACAATTAGGCTTCAAAATTCTGCTCCAGTCATCAACGGGAAGCAGAGATATGCTGTGAATAGTGTGTCCTTCATTCCTGCTGATACACCTCTCAAGCTTGCTGACTACTTCAAGATCTCCGGGGTTTTCTCCCTTGGAAGCATGCCAGACAGCCCCACCGGCTCCGGTGGTTACCTTCAAACTTCTGTTATGGCTGCCAATTTCCGAGGCTTCGCTGAGATTGTTTTTGAGAATCCCGAAGACACCCTGCAATCTTGGCATATTGATGGCCACAACTTCTTCGTAGTAGGGTGGGTTCACCTATCCTTAAACCTGTAAATAGGTGTTTTTGGTTACTGGAGTGTCTCGAGACTATCTTTGAATTGGAATTTCACAGGATGGATGGAGGACAATGGTCAGCTGCAAGTAGGTCGAGTTACAATCTAAGAGACACGATTTCTCGCAGCACTGTTCAGGTACATGAGCTCATAAATTATCATAAACGCTGTTCTTCATTCATCTGGGAATTATCCCACCTGAAAATAATGTATTTTGCTGATTGGCATGTGTGATTGTGACGGAGCAGGTGTATCCAAAGTCATGGACTGCAATATACATGCCTCTGGACAACGTGGGAATGTGGAACGTGAGGTCAGAGAACTGGCCTCGTCAATACTTGGGGCAACAATTCTATCTCCGCGTGTATTCGCCTGCAAATTCATGGAGAGATGAATACCCTATCCCGAGTAATGCTCTGTTATGTGGTCGTGCTATAGGCCATAGCGCTTGAGCTTCTCTATACGATGTGAGCCACTTCATTAAAATACTTTCAGCATCAGCAGCAGCTGAATTCAAGTCTCAGCTCGAGCCACTTTCCTCCTCTGTTCCTTTCAACAAGTTTCCTTCTATATCATTGTTTCATTGCGTTGTAGACCTTCACGGTATTCATTTAATGTTATAGAGATTTTGTTTGTCCTAAGATATGGAACAGACAATCGAGCCTCATTTACCATGGTGGTGGTATCCAGTGTCCATGTCATTAGACCTGATTTTCTACGACCCGTTATAGGTTCTTTATGTTTACTATTGTCCAATTCGGATATTGCATGTGTAATTTTGTATCTGACTAGCAGGCTTCAAGTTAAGGATCCAGGAGATAATTGATACATAAGTAAGACATTTGCACTTTTTGATCCTTACTTAGCCATAGGTTTCAGAGTTGACTTCCTTCCTTAATTGTCACGACATTTTTTAAGGTTGTGTTTCAATTCACAAGAAAGTATAAAAATAATTAATATGTTCGCTGTAAAAATGCCTTCAATGTATAAAAAAGTCCATTTAGTTCCTTAGAATCTTTGTTGTATACAATTAATAAATTGAGTTAGATTTGGTGTTGCTAGGTATAATTGGGTATAGTTTTTTTAAAGACTGTTGAATTCATATAAATTTAAACTTAAATATTGTGCATAAGTGGTTGTACTGATTCCGTTAATTTTGCTTGTTCTGTAGAAGATTTGTTATCAGAACTACTAATAGGTTGTTGAGTTAAAAAAATACTAATGCTTTTTTAGCTTAAAATTAAAATTCTCACCAACACAATTGAAGTCATTTTCAAAAAGAAAGTCTGTATCTTATGACTACCCAAAATAACTCCGATTGATTCCATTTAGTAATATATCATGGGAAAATAATTTGGTAGAATAAGAAGTTATGAGCTTATCACAATACTACCTCTGTTGGCGGGGAAAAAAAAACAACAATACTACCCTCCACCTCCGGTCAACCATTAATTGAAATCAAATATAAAAAATATATTTTTCCAGAAATTTAGTTAGCCTAACTAATTTTAAATATTAGTGTCTCATAGAATCCAAAGGTAATAAATATTTTCCTAAAATTAGTAAAGTTATTATTGTTCATATAGAATTTATCAATTTTTTCTCCCTACTTCTATTGCGTTCATCCAAATATAATTGGGGAAGAACACTCCCCTTATTTCTCCTCCCTTTATTTTTGTCTCCCTAATTTTCTACCTTAGCACATAAAGATTCATTTCGTTTTGAAATTCATTCAAAAAACAATAAAATTAAATTAACCTAGCCCAATGGGTTTTCCGTGGGTGTCGGCTCGCTGTCCCGAGGACACGAGCGGCATCATAAATTGATTTGACACGACGATAAAAGAGCTGCTTGCTTTACAAGAAGACCACGCGTTGTAAGGAACGATCTGAACCGTCCGTGCAAAAATTATAACTCCTCTTTTGTCCATCTTCGACCGATTGGCAAGGACAGTCTCGGAACCGAAGGTCGTTTTGCTAATGAGCATCTCCTTCGTCAGATCAATCCCACGATGTAGATTGTGCACAAGAGCTCAACAGTCAACTCCTCATTTGTACTGTATGCCTACATTGAAAAAAATGGAGGAGATGGGAGATCTTGATGAAATCAATATATTAAAAATTGAGGAGTGGGCTTATTATATAAGCTCCAAAGATTAATATACAAATTTGAGATTAATATTAATATTAATATTTTCGTCTATTGTACGAATATAAAATCTAGTTTGTTTGTATGCTGTGATGAACCTTGCAAGAGAAGCAAATGTATTTAAACATTTCTATTCACAAGGCGCCTTTTCGGCAGGACCCTCGTACGGACGAATCACGACGCGCTTGCCCACCGCATTATTGCGGGACTGTTCCCTCGATGCGTTACTTGTTATTTATAGAGTTTTTTTTTTTGCATGGAGATCAAACCGCTGACAGATGTAACGCAATCACGTGGTCCTTTGTAAGTCGGTGTAGAATCCTCCACGCAGTACGTCTGTCGTGGTCGCCACCACAGAGAATCAAACCGATGGCATTGGACTGCGTTACAGGCGCCTTCTCCCGCTGGGTACAAGTGAGGGCCTCTTCCCGCCGTTTCGTTTCAAGAGTCACCACCGCCCCCTACCATTTCTGTTTCCTGAACCGCTTTTCTAATCTAACCTCTCCATTGTCACAAACCCTAAATCTCCGTTAGCTGCTTCGATGGAGCTGCGTCCTCGTAATCGACTTTCTACTCCTAATATTGATGGTAAACATTCCGTCGAGCGATTGTATTAACTTCTGTTTCTTTTTTCTTTTTTGTAATTTCATGCCTCTGCTGTCGTTTTTTTTTTTTTAACGAGAACATGATAGGCACCAGAGGATTGAATTTGGATTTTTTGCTCTTTTTTCTTGTAAACATTTCCCTCGTGCTTCTATTTCTGTGTGTTCCGTTCCTTTTCTCTGCTTGTGAGTGATTACTTTGGGGATAGAATTTGTAAGAAGATGACAGGAGCGCAAGGATTTCTTAGTTATTACTGCCTTGGTGTCGTTTGGCCAAAAAATATATATATATCTATATATTATTGCCTTGGTGCCAAACTTTGTTGCGGTCAACTAGTTTATGTCGCGTCTTTTTTCCGCGATTACTGTTCGGAAATTTATAGTGTTAAGCCAGTTCTGATACTGGGTTTAATGTTACTCAGTGGGGTTAATTTCTAAAGAGCTGGCATTTTGAAGTTTTTGTGTTCTTGCCCCTCACCCACGCGCTAGAAGCCACACCTATTTCTTATAGAACACTGAAGATTTGGGTCCTTTGCGTGGCTGTACTGAATTCACATTCTTTTCGTCCTTGTTTATTTTAATGGTTATGTATAAAATAGCAGCAATGAATGAACAACAGCCCAATGATGCCTCTGGAGAAGCTAAAACTGCTAGCCATTGTAGCAATAATGCAAATGAAGTCTCTTCAGGTTCACATTCCAGTTTCGAAGGTACATTGCCTTTCTTGCCTGGTCATTAACTTATTTATTTTTTCCTTGCGAATCATGGGTGGCTATTGACAGCGTAATTCCATTTTTAAATTTTAAACCGCTTAAATCTAAACCTTCAAATAAAACCTCTATCTTTTCTTCTGCGGTTTAGTGGAGAAATCTATGTACTGCATATTTAGTAGTGTATTTCATCCTTATAGCATGGCTGTTGACGAGAAATAGTTTCATACAGATGATGAAGCTTTGAACTCCTCTCTTGACTTAAATAAAGAACCTACTTCAAGCTTTTGCGCTTCTGATGGGGTAGACGACACCTCTGATTCATCCAATAGCTGGGATAGTCCGTATAGAAAGATAAGAGGAAAGAAAAGAAGAAAACGTAGCTCAAAAAATGGAGAGTCCAATCAGGACAAGGGAGTGTTGCAGTATGGAGACAATGATGGCTCCACAAGAGTTCAGCAGCAATCAACTGACGATCATTTGGGTAGCCTTGGAAAGAAGAAGAAAAGAAAAAGAGCAAGAAAAGATCCGCAGCCAGTGTTGTTATGGAAGGTATGGGAAGAGCAGCATGAGAGATGGATCGATGAGAATTTATCTGTAGATGTTGACTTGGATCATCATAATGAACTAATGAAAGAAACTGCCGAGCCTTCCTCTGACCTTACTATGCCTTTACTAAGATACCAAAAGGAATGGCTAGCATGGGCTCTTAAACAAGAGAATTCTAAAATTAGGGGGGGTATTCTTGCAGATGAAATGGGGATGGGAAAGACTATTCAAGCAATTTCTCTTGTCCTTGCCAAACGTGAAATCCGGCAAATGGTTTGTGAATCAGATGAAACATCCTCTTTGCCAAGTTCATCTACAGTCTTGCCTGGGATCAAAGGAACGCTTGTAGTTTGTCCTTTGGTTGCTGTCACTCAGTGGGTTAGTGAGATTGATAGGTTTACTCTGAAAGGAAGCACCAAGGTGCTAATTTATCATGGGGCCAATAGAGGGAAGTGTAGGGAAGAGTTCTCGGAGTATGATTTTGTAATAACTACATACTCTATTGTTGAATCAGAATACAGGAAGCATATGATGCCTCCTAAGGAGAAGTGCCCATATTGTGGCAAATCTTATAGCCACTCAAAGTTATCTTTTCACCAGAGATATTATTGTGGGCCTGATGCTGAGAGAACAGAAAAACAATCGAAGCAATTGAAGAAAAAGCAAAGAAAAGTTGATACAAAAAAAAATGTTCAGATGAAAATGGGCCCAGATAATTCAGATACCACAGGCAAGGGGAAGTCACTTTTACATGCTGTAAAGTGGCAGCGGATCATTTTGGATGAGGTCAGTTGTGATCATCATTATGGCATTTAATTGGTTCTGTATCACAAAATAAAATTAGCTGTTTACACGTTTAAATATCTCTCTACCACTCTTATTTCTCTAAAGTAATTGGAGTGTGGTTTCTTTTCTTATTTGACTATGCCAAGTCTTTTGCTTTTATCTTAACAAGAAAGGAAAATGGATTATGACTTAAACTGAGGGTTTTCATCATTAACCTATTTCTATTTTTCATACTCTGATTTTTATTTTAATGTCAATATTCTGTTATGACATTGCAATGTGTGATTCAGTTTGATATACGCTTGAAAGTTTGTCATTGAACTTTATACTTTTAATTTTTTGTAATAGGCACACTATATAAAATCTAGACAATGTAACACTGCAAAAGCAATTCTTGCTCTTGAGTCTTCCTATAGATGGGCATTAAGTGGAACTCCCCTTCAGAATCGTGTGGGAGAGCTGTATTCTCTGGTCAGTTCACCGTCTTATATTTTTTTGCTGTAGTCTGGAAAGTTTATGTTTTAAAAGATAATTTATTTCTATGGTGTTAATACAGATACGTTTCCTGCAAGTAGTTCCTTATTCCTATTACTTGTGTAAGGACTGTGATTGCAGGATTCTTGATCATAGGTACGTGTGAACTTACTACTGGGAACCTGATTTGTTCATTCATTTTGGTTTTGTTTGTTTCCGTTCTTGTTTTATTTCATCTCTATGAGTGACTCATGTTTTGTCTCTTCTGTAATCCCATACGTTCTGGATTAAAGCAAGCTGCTTTTGCCTTGCCAAAAAAACAAAACAAATCAAAAGCGAAAGCAAGCTGCTTTTTTCTCTGAGGTTGTCATAAAATTAACTTTCTTCTCTTGTACCAGAGAAAAAACTTCTCTTTAAATGCTCTACCATGCTCAGTTGTGCTGAGCATGCAAAGGCGAGCATTCCTCTAATTGCACATGTGCTTTTATGTATCTTACAACTATAGTACTAGGATGCTGTTAACTTCATGCTTCCAAGTTGTGATCATGATACTTTTATGCAGTTCTAAGGAATGTTCAAACTGCCAGCACAGTTCTGTTAGACATTTCTGTTGGTGGAATAAAGTAAGAGATTTGTAGCTTATTTGCCCATTTTTAAAATTTGTTAAAGGCAAGAAAAGCAAATTCTTGCTGTTTCATACAAATTTCTACTGACATATTGAATATTGATAAGTATGTAGCCACACCAATTCAATTATATGGAAACAGTGATGCTGGAAGGAGAGCAATGATATTGCTTACGCACAAGGTTTTAAAAAATATAATATTAAGACGTACTAAAATAGGCCGGGCTGCTGATCTCGCACTTCCACCAAGAATTGTAAGTGACTATTTACAATGTAGCTAAATTTGAAATTTTGAATATTGAAGAATTATATATTGATCTCTTCCATTTATTGCTTGCAGGTGTCGTTGAGAAAGGACAGCCTGGATATAAAAGAGCAAGACTATTATGAATCATTATACAATGAAAGTCAGGCACAGTTTAATACGTATGTCTCATATTTTGCTTACTACTATAGAAAACATTGAAGATTTGTGAAGCAGATTCTTTTATTGTAATGACTAATTTTTTTATTCATTTTTTTACAAGTTGTTAATTTCTAAGATAAGCTTAAAATTTGTTTTTAATCTGGAGGAAGAACCGTATATTTTTGTTGATTCTTTGACGCACTGTCTTTTTTCTGCTTCCTATCTAAGCCATCAATGTGATTCTCCTTCGCAGGTATGTGGAATCAAATACCTTGACGAATAACTATGCTCATATATTTGACCTCCTCACCAGGCTTCGACAGGTGTGTGTTTATTTCAATGGAGGAAAGAACTTTGACACTTACTCCTCTCATGATGCAGCCCCCTTGCCTCTCACTGTCTCTTTTGCCCCTCCCCCAATTTTTAATTTGTTAAATGAAGAATGATATACATTATTATTAGAGGCCTATGCATTTTGTTGAAACTCTTGGATGTCCTTGACCTTGAATTTCCCATTTCTTGATCGTATCCCTAAATTGTATTGTTATTTGATGCTGTAATTTTTTTTTTTTAACTTAACAATAATATGGAACTTCACTTTGCTTTAAAGTTTTAGTGCGAATAACCAGTTAGTGCCTACAAAGTTTTAGCACGTGAGATTTTTCTGCTTGTGCCTACAAAGAAGTTCCACAAATTATGAAACAACCTTTGAGCTCATTTTGGTCATGGGTTGAGAATAGGAATTGAAGTCTATGAGATCTAATTTCCTGTTACTCCTCAGTAGCTTGCTGGTAGGGCTGCAGTTAACTGACACATATTTCTTGCTTCGATTACAGGCTGTTGATCATCCATACCTTGTGGTATATTCTCAAGCTGCATCATTGAAAGCTGGGGTTGAGGTTAGCAATGACAATGTTGAACAAGTATGTGGCCTTTGTCATGAGCCGGTAGAAGATCCTGTGGTTAGTTCATAGTCCCCTTTCCTTTTATATTCTGCCTGCTGGTTCTTTACAGAAAAATATTAGCAAATAAGAAGATGCTCGTGAGAGACTAGGGCAGTGTGCCACTCCTCAACTACCCTTTTCCTATTGTTTCAGGTTACCTCATGTGAACACATCTTTTGTAAGGCATGCTTGATAGACTTCTCTGCTTCCTTGGGGCAAGTGTCATGCCCTTCATGCTCCAAATTACTTACTGTTGATTTAACTTCCAATATTGATGTTGGGGATCAGTCTAGAAAAACAACAATAAAGGGTTTCAGATCCTCAAGCATTTTAAATAGAATTCGGCTTGAGAACTTTCAGACAAGTACTAAAATAGAGGCATTGGTACGTATCGTAAATGACTTTGCATGATATATTTATTAATTTTTTTTGGGCCTTCCTAATGTCTAGAAAGTATGACTAATTTGGCTGAGCATATTTTTATGTTTTTCTTCTTATTGTTTTATGAAGTATGGCATTTATAGGCAGTAAAAAGATTGGTTACACAACCATGTTTTGTTGTTTCTTGGAAGTTCATGTCTGCATAAGCCATAAAAGATGAATACAGTATGTTATGCTGTAGTAACATTGATTAGTTTCTGGGAAAAGAGTATGAGCTCACATGACAACGAGCCAACTAGATCTGTTTAAGTTTTCATGTTCTGGCCTTGATGACATTGAGCCAACAAGATCTCTGCAGTACTGTTTTCAATGTGTTGGATTTTATGCAGTTCTTGCTTCTCGAAATGATAGTTGTTTCTTTTCTCACATTGGTCAATTTAGAGAGGAGAGAATTGTATACAGTTTGGTTGAATAACTGCTTATAGTGTTGCCCGAGATTGAAATGCTTGCGCTAGATAACCTATATTTTCTTTCCTGTGCATACCTCATACAATCCCTATACACTTGTGCCTTAACAAGTTGAAATTGCTGTAGAGAGAAGAAATTAGATTTATGGTAGAAAGGGATGGCTCTGCAAAAGGGATTGTTTTTAGCCAGTTCACTTCATTCTTGGATCTCATAAACTACTCCCTTCTTAAGGTAATTTCACTTGTGCTTTTCTTTAGTATAAATGCATGTAAAATTCATTGCAATGATCATATTATGACTGAATTGCAGTCTGGCGTGTCTTGCGTTCAATTGAATGGAAGCATGTCATTAACTGCCCGGGATGCTGCGATTAAGAGATTTACTGATGATCCAGAATGCAAAATTTTTCTCATGAGCTTGAAAGCTGGTGGCGTTGCCCTCAATTTGACCGTAGCATCACATGTGAATAAATCTTCTTTATACTTTGTGTTTTGTGTATAATACATCGGTTTACTGATTCAATTGTGAAATTAATCAAATGTAGATACTTGTTGCTTAAATCATCTCTCGTATCTTTTCACATATGGACTTATTTATTTGCATAGGTTTTCATTATGGACCCTTGGTGGAACCCAGCCGTGGAGCGTCAGGCTCAAGATAGAATTCACCGAATAGGGCAATATAAACCAATCAGGTGCTTCTTCTTGCACCCTAGCACTCCTCAAGTCTAGAAGTAGGCAACGGAAAAATTACTGGAAGCAGGGGTATGTTGTCGATGGAGATCTGACATTGTTTCCCCCCCCCCCCCTTTGGTCAGAATTGTCAGGTTTGTAATTGAAAACACTATTGAGGAGAGGATTTTGAAGCTGCAAGAGAAGAAGGAGCTAATTTTTGAAGGGTAAGTGGATGTTTAAGTTGGCTTAGAAGGTGCTGGGTGTTTAACCATGTCAATATATTACTTATTTCGCCCCTTTCTCCAATAGGACTGTTGGCGGCTCCGCCGAAGCTCTGGGCAAACTCACGGAGGCGGACATGAGATTTCTGTTTATTACCTGATCAGTGTAAAATCCTGCTTTTGAACAGTTTTTGGCACACTGGATTGGACTTGTGAAACACTGTGCGAAATGGATGAAAACTTGTCATGCTATACCATTCACCCTTTCCCCTGTCCAACTGTGCGTTAAATTGTCCAATTTGGCCACGGAACCTTGACAGATGGACACGAAAATGAAGCAGGTACCTAGGGCACTATTTATTATTTAATATTGCACGTTGAAGATAGCAAAAAATTTGAAATTTGGCCGTAAATAATTGTCGAAGCTCTTTCTTTCTTAAGGATGAATATACCTCGTCAGTGGACGAGACACTGGTTTAGTTACACCAGTTCAATTACACTAGTTTAGTTTGATTGTAATTGAACCCAGGTTGGATTGATAATGGCTTAGTTACGCAAGTTTGACCGTAAAATAACTCACCCAAACAAAATGGACTCTTCGTAAACTCAAACCATTTAGCTTACCCCATTTAACTTCTAGTTAATTGGGGAAAAAGGTAGAAATATTTATAAAATGAATAGTTAGGGATATTCAATAGTTTAAAGTGAGGAAGATAATGTAAATATTTATGACGATACATGAATTGGTATAAAAATAAGCAAAACGTTAATTTTGTCTTGGTGTTATTAGATTTTGGTGTTAAATGTTAATTGTGCATATTGTCAGTTTTTGTTGATGTAGATTAAAAAAAGGAGATAAAAATACTTATAAAGTTGTCAATCAGGAGTATCAAGCAACTCAAAAATGAGAAAAAAAAGGGGTAAAAATATTCATAATATTATTAAAGATAGCGTAAAAGTGATCAATTTATTAAATTTATTAAATATTGATCGTTTAATCGACATTTAAGTAGAAGTTAACTATTTTTTTGCTTACGTGGACAAAAAGTATTTTTAGAGGAATTTCTATGAAAGTTAATCGATCATCTTATGAATATTTATAATGTTATTTTAGTAGGAGTAATAATGATCAATCTATTAACATTCATGCCACATGGTCTCTTTTAATTTCCACGTATCCTATGCCCTTCTTTCCTTCCTTCCCACTCATTTTTCTCGTCTACAAAATTTGAGATTCAATATAGTGAGGTGTTAAGAGTTTTAGGGGGAAGAGGGGAGGAATAGGGGCGCTCGAAAATTTTTCTTTTTTTTTTTCCAGCTTTCGCTGGAAAAACTCCATAGTTAAAATTTTCCCCCCCATAAGACCCCTGAGCTAGCCCTTGCCTTACTTGTTCTTTAAAGATGGGCTGGCTCAAGGGAGGACAGCACTGCTTGTTTGTTCTTTTCAAGTAGGCTGTACATAATTCAAAATTGAGATTAAACATACCTTCTATTCTGTCTTACCCTGAGAATATTGTCACAATTTTAAACAATTTTATTTATAATATGTTCAAATTTTTAAATAATTTTTGTCATTGCTATAAAAAAGTGAGCGATTTCATTTGATATTCGATCAAAATAATATTTTTTTCATATGGTATTCATATAATAACTAATTAACCTTTATAGAATTTCACTTGTGAATATTTTTTGTCCACGTGGGCAAAAAAATGGTCAACTTTTACTTTAGTGTCAGTTAAATAGTCAACATTTAAGGAATTTGATAAATTTATTATTTTTGCACCAATTTTGAAAACATTATGAGCATTTTTGCCTTTTTTTGAGTTTAGGATACTGGATGCTTCTGATTGATAGTTTTGTAGGTATTTTATTCTCTTTTTTAGTCAACGTTAGTAAAGATTAACATGTGGCATGCACAGTCAGTATTAAACATCAAAAACTAACAACATTAGAGTAAAGTTAACAGTTTGGTTACTATTGCACTTATTTATATTATGTCATAAGTATTTATACCCATTTCTTTACTTTAGATTATTGGGTGCTTTTGATTGATCATTTTATAGGCATTTTCATCCTTTTACCCATTCTTAAAGGCAAATAAAGGCTCATCACACTTACCAATAAACTAAGATTTAGATATTGTTATTGATACCCATTTCTTTACTTTAGATTATTGGGTGTTTCTGATTGATCATTTTGTAAGTATTTTCACCCTTTTATCCATTCTTAAAGACAAACAAAGGCTTATCACACTTACCAATAAACTAAGATTTAGATATTGTTATTGATAATGATTGATGAATAATAGATTCATGTGAGTGTTATTGTAAAATGTGGAGGAATGATTTATGTCTCTTAAATGTGGCGGATGATATGATTATAATTTCTTAAATGTGATGCAGACGAAGAAGCAAGTTAAAATATGTTATACTTTGTTCGTTTTTATATGTACGGGAGAAATTATCACTTCTTCTTTTGTTTTTATTTATAAACAAAATTATATATCTTAAAAAGCATTTGTTAAAATTTTTTAATTTACCCTTTATAATGTTATAATATTTATTTAGGAGAAACAATTAATACAACTTTATTTTAATTAAATATAAGAGTATTATTTTCAGACACAATTGTTATTGTTAATCTATTTTCTTAAATTGTATGATAGTTATTTTCTGTTATAAAAAAATGAAAATAATAATGTAATAGAAAAAGTTAAAATTCCATGATCAGGATTTTGTGATACATGGATTTAAAGTGAGTGATGTGTTTGTATTAGATTTATGTTTTAGAAATTATTAAAACTTGTACAAAAATATATAATGTTGGCCGGGCTTAACTCGCTTAAATCTTTTTGTTAATAAAAAAATGTTGCCCATAGGCCAATACTATATTGGATGGATCAAAATTTTCCCAAGCCACATAAAAAACAAAATTCAAACTCATTTTAGAAAACTTTAGACCATTGGTTACTAAAAAAATATATGCCATACCTATAATGAAATGTACAAGGTTGGTATCACTAATGTTAAAATGATCCCTGTTTTTTGGTGATCAATATATTGCCTTGTACATTTTGATGGTGGAATTAAACCGTGTAGGCTCATTGCGATAAAGAAATCTCAAAATCCACACATAATAATTAAAGAATAAATAAACTTCTATAACGCCGACTGGTGAGGCAGTCGGATGATGAAGGCTAGATGCGGCGCTTTCATATCTCTGTACGTTCATTTACCTTATGTCTACGTGTTCCCTTTTCATTGTGCCACGGCACGGGTCCCACACAAAACCCTCCCCCCAACCCCCCAAAACCCACGCTCGCACACGCTCTGACTGTCCAGCCACTGCCAGACACTGCGTTTTAAATCAACGATTTCTCCTTCTTAATACCAAAACCGAAAAAATCTACTTCTCTCTGCTTCCTCCGTCTTCCCCATTTTCTTCTTCTTCCTCCCTTGAAAAGCGATTTTCGGTTCTGCTCACAGCATCACAAGATGATTCAGCTACTTTACACTGTGATTTTTGGTGAAATGTTGCTAATTCTTACCCTTCTTTTCAAGACCCCGTTCAGGAAGCTTCTTATCATTACCTTAGATCGGGTCAAGCGAGGTCGGGGCCCCGTCGTGATCTCCACTGTCGGTGCTACGTTGCTTATCGTCCTTGCTTCCAGCCTCTACAGTATGGTCAAGATCCAGGAACGAACCCTTGAGGCTGGACTCGTCAACCCCACCGATGAAGTTCTTCGGTCCAAGCACATGCTTGAAGCATCTCTAATGGGTAATTTCCTATTGTTGCGTCTCATTTTGTTTCTCCTGAATGTTGATTTTATCTGGAACTGTTGATTTTTTTTTTTTTTTGAAGTTCTCTTGTTTCTCGATTGCGGTGATCAAAACCTACCTTGAGCTATCCCACTGCTCTCTGCTTAATGCGATCCTTTCCTTGGTTGGTAAGAAATCAGGATGGTTGGATTTGACATTAGTGATTGCTGGAAAATAGAACTAGAAACACGACAATCGAAATTACGATTGGTGGGTCTAGGATCCGTGGATTTTGCTGACTTGCAACCTCATTATGATATTGTCCTCCCAAAAGAGGGGGAAAACGGAGATGAATAAGTGCCAGGAAGACTTATTTTGTGCTATACAGGTCAAAAAATCTTAGTTAAGATACATGGGACTATTAGCTTTGAGGATTCTGCAAGCTTATATATAATACATTTGATGTTATTCACAAAGAAAGTGCTATATTGAAAGTTGAAACCTGTTACTGTCTAAGTCGGAGTTTCTCATTCACATAAGAATGTTTTGGCATGTTTGGCTTCTACCTGTTCTGAATTATATGCTTCCTAACGAGCTTCACTTCTTGAGTCTCATGTAGTTGACAACATTAATTGCCTTTATGTTGGACTGCATATTTCACGTGTATCTTTGGGCGTGGATGTTTGCATTTTGGACCTGCCGCCACTGAAATTTTTTTTTCAGCATCCTCGTATTTCATTTTTTTTAATTCTATAAATACTTTAAGTGAGAGAAATTGTAATCCTATTAGCTAATCCTTCTGTAATTCTTTTGATGTTATCTAATGCACTGAAGCTTCTGGATTGTGTGGATCATGTTGTGTGATCTGTGGTACACTCCAACTGGCTGCTTTCGACGGGATTGAATTCTTTGTCCTGTATACTGATTTGTTTGATGATTTTTTGTCACATTCTTTGATATATGTTATTTGTTGAATTTGATTTTTTACACGTCATGTGTGCAGGGTTTGTGCTTTTCCTGTCTTTGATGATTGATAGGTTGCATCATTACATAAGAGAGCTTAGATTGCTCAGGAAGACCATGGAGGCTGTTAAGAAACAGAATCGAAGTTTTGAGGATGGTAAAAACAGCAGCGCTGAAGAACATAAAGCATTGACGGTAGAAATTGCAACACTGAAGAACACGATAAAGAAACTGGAATCTGAATGTGAGGCGGAAGGAAGCAAGGCTAAGACTTTGGAAGCTGAAGTGGAGGCTCTGAAAAAGCAATCTGAAGGATTCCTCATGGAATATGATCGGCTTTTGGCAGACAATCAGAGTCTTAGAAGTCAGTTGGATGCGATTGACCACAGCTCTACACACCTCGATAACAAAAAAAGCATGTGAGGGTTCAAACTCCAAGAATGCTGTTTCAGTTTAGCTGCTTCTGTTAAATTGCCAAACGTTTGTGTTTGAAAACATAGAGAATGAGGTCGTAGATTGATATAAATGATCAGTGAAGAACGGAGAGATGCTTTTTGTATCTTTATCGAACTGGCGTGGTTAAAGCAGTTAATATAATTACTAGTGTACATGTAATTTGGCCAACTGAACTTAATCCATTTCGTATAATGTTGAGATATTTGCTAAATGAATACGTGCCCTTTCACTGACTGTAAAGTCGATACCAGTATGGAATCCTAACCATATTCATTCATACAGTGCCCCTTGCTTCTTCCTTTTGCTTGTATGCTGGAATGTTTTTAAATGGGCGACATATTTAAGCCTACTTGTGACAGATTTAAACTTTTCTTTATAATTAACTTACTCGATTTTAGTCCAAAAAAAGAAAAAAGAGAAAAAATGTGTCCTAAGAAAAAATATGTTTCCTAGCTCCTCATACTCCTCGCGCTGCAGTTCAAGTAATCTCAGGAAGTAGTTAGTCCATCTCAATACTCAAGTTTCAAAATCTAATGAAGCATTACTTTTAATCAAAAGCAGCTCGAGTTGCAAATGGAGGCTGGCTTGCGTCAGCAGAGCAAAAGGCGAAGCCATCTTTGACTGTTATCTTAACTCTTTATTTATTTATTTGTTTTATTTTTCCTTCTGCACATTGACCCGCATATTAGTGGCTATCCTATCAGACTCCTAAGTTTCTGTAACTGCTCCTTCATTTTCTACTACTGAATTTTGAAGGGGATACTCTGATATAATAGTGAATGACTTATGGGTAGTATAGAAAGAGGATTAAATGCTTGTGAATTGTTATTGAACCGAACATTTTCGCTTAACCATGGCCCCTGCCTCACTCACTGCCATTAAACGCGGGCATGGCAGACTGTCCATTATTGACCCGCTAATACAGCACATTATGTTCAGCGATAACCATTCACATAGTTCTCCTTTTCATTGCTTTCTACTTGGGTTCAAATCTTTGCGATATGGTTTTCCCTATCTTGTCTAATTTCATTTCACCTCCAACCATCAACAATTGAATCTTGGTGATCAACATGACACAATAACTAAAAGGGCACGGCACTTTAAGAATGTCGCTATAAAAATAAAAACACACACTTATATGTAATTTGAAATATACTAAATCCTGGGAGGTAAAAGTGGCCCAAAACAGCAAAGTGGACGGATCAAAATAGCAACAAAAAGAATTCCTTTTTGGGTTCGACGTTCCACGATACAACCCTTTTCTCGCCAACGAATCCAAGAGGTTAATTCTAATACGACTCTGCTCAACTAAGTTAGGCAATTTTGACTTTAACATTTGAAATGGGACCAGGGGCATAAATGTGCCTGCTCTTTATTTAAAAGAAGAAATCGCGCTAATCTCGGTTGCATTTTTACACTTCATGAGTTTCTTTGAAAACAAAATTGTTTACGTAATTGTATGGGGGATCCGAATAGTCCCGTACAAACGTGTTACGTGTAGTGGCATGCAGCAGCAAAGGGGGTCTCCTATCCACTAGCGCTTGGCGCATAATATTTTGACTAAGCTATCCACTCACTCCAACTTGGGATTAACACTTCACTCGTTCATTTCTGCTCCAGACGGGATGGCTTCCCCACTCGGTGTACTTCAATATTTTAGCAGAAAAATATCCACATGAGTTGGGTATTAATTTACTATAGTTATGACAGCTGTCAAGACTTTTCTTTTTTAATGTGTACCCGGTATCTGAAATCATTCGGACTCTGACTGATCGCATCGAGCTGGGTCGAATCATGAGGACACGAAGCTCTCATAACAAGTATACCATTTAATGTAACCTTATACTGTGGACTCAAACTCAAGATCCTGATTAATTAAGTTAATACAGTCTCTAGAAATGATGTAAGCATATGTGGCGTTCAATGTGTATCCAGCAAGGCTTCTAAGTCCAAGATGGCATCAAAAGTGATAGAGTCAAAAAGCCAGAGATAATATTTCGGCTATTAGAATTAATTTCGTTTAATTTAGTCAAGGTTTTCTATTTTTATTGAATTTTGTATTTAATTTTTAAGTATTTTATTTATTTAGTATTTTAAGCTTTGATAGCCAATTGTAGGCTTTTTGGCTTAAGCTATCCCTTAGGATTTTTAGATAGTCTTAATTGAGTTAGTAGTTTTTTTATTTCTTTAAATACTACTTATATGTAAACAGTATAAGGGAGAGCATATGGAATAAATAAGTTATTTTTTCTTAACAAGCTTCACTTGTTTATCTTAATTCAAAGTTGAAAGTTCCTAGTTCGAGAGATCTTAGACATGATTCTAACTTTTCATATGGATATTTCAATTAGTGTGTTCTGTGGGATTTTGAGTTACCGTTTGGGCTTTCGTATCATAGAGATTCCCTTTAGAAATGAAACCTACTAGCCCTTACGAAGTATGAAACTTATTTTTATCAAGGACTTAGGGTGCACTTATCTCTTTGCGCTTAAAGGATAGTGCATTCGTGCTGTACAGCTTGATCTATCTTCACATTTCAATTCTAACTTGCCGAACAAACCAATACAGACAGGCCTGTTTTCAAATCGCGAATGTGATTTGAAGAGTCATATGTATCATATGCTTCATCAACTTTTACCAACGAAAGCGATGTGCATGGAAGTGGATGCTATGTGGGGCTCAAAGCAACTTAACGTGCCCAATAAGTGGTGCGCATGCTTCTAAGAAACATCACAAACCAGGAGAGATTTTTCCAATATGTATTCATGCATCGTGCGCTCGAATGCAGCCCAGAAACTTCATTTAATATGGACATTAATTAATGGACGCCCCGATTAATTATGCGTGCTGCGTTGTTGGAGAAAATCTTTAAGCCTTTAAGTTATGAGCCTAGATATTTTGATCCACTCTGAACCCAATTCCCTCTATGTATCTTCTTCGTGAGGAAATAAAAGAAGGCAAGGACACTGGATCAAACATTTGATGCCCAAGACAAAACATGAGTTCTATCAGTAATTTTCATTGAAATCTTTCAGAAAACGATAAGAAGGAAGAAGCTTTATCCAATAAGGGTCCGAGGAAGATCAAGTATAGCTGTAAAGTACACTGACCAGACAGAGAAGAGCACTTGTTGGCTGACTCATGCTTGAAACAAAGTCCAAAAAGAGCAGCTGAGTCGGCCTCCTTCATTCCCTATTTTAAATAATTATTTTATTAATTAGCTACTGTTTCCCCTCAAAAAGAGCAAAAATTCTCTGCAATTTGCACGACCCTGTTTTTGGGTTTTGCCTATAAATCTCGGCAAGACTGCGCTAGAATGATCGCAGCAATTAGCAAAATGGCTGGGTCTCAGAAAGATTCACAACCTCATATAGTAATCTCGGTCGGCGTTGCGAGGAGCAAAACTCAATCTTCCTTAACCTTTATCCTCACTAATTTTCATGCAGGATACTTCAGAATCAGCCTGTCTCTCTCCAGCCAAGCCTTGTTATGGAAGATCCTCAAAGAACCAATCCAAGACGCTCATGCTCTCAGACGTGTATTCTCACTAATGCCCTCCGCGGCTTTCACTCTCCTGTGGTCACTCTCACTACTCACCCTCCTCGCCCTCTCTCTTCTCTACCTTCTCAGATGCTTCTTCCACTTCAACATGGTGAAGGACGAATTTCTGAACCGTGTCGGAGTAAATTACCTTTTCGCTCCCTGGATTTCCTTCCTTCTGTTGCTGGAATCAACTCCGTTTCTTTCCCGGACCGCAATTTGTCACCAGGTCCTCTGGTGCGTCCTGGTCATGCCAGTGCTGGCGCTGGATTTGAAGATATACGGCCAGTACTTGACCAAGGGGAAGAGGCATCTGGCCACTGTGGGGAACCCGACGAGCCAGCTGTCTGTGATCGGGAACCTGGTGGGCGCGCAGGTGGCGGCGGGTGTGGGGTGGAGGGAGAGCGCGGTGGCGATGTTTGGAGTGGGGATGGCACATTACCTGGTACTGTTTGTGACGTTGTATCAGAGGTTGTCGGGGGAACACTGCGGAGGTGTTCCGGTGACGCTGAGGCCGGTGCTGTTTTTGTTCTTTGCGGCTCCGAGCGTGGCTAGCTTGGCTTGGGGCGCCATTATCGGGCACTTCGATTCTGCATCCAAGATGCTCTTCTTCCTCTCCCTCTTCCTCTTCATGTCGTTGGTAATTCTTTGTTTCTCGTCCCCGTGAATCATCTTATGTTCACTGTTCTATTATTGAAATAGAATGAAGTTGTTGACAGATAACGAGGCCGATGATGTTCAAGAAGGCGATGAGGAAGTTCGACGTGGCGTGGTGGGCTTATTCGTTCCCGCTGACGGCGCTGGCATTGGCATCGGCACAGTACGCAGAGGAGGTTAAAGGAGCCATGTCCCATGCTCTCACGTTGCTTCTGTCTTCCCTCTCTGTGTTGGTGTCTTTGTTCTTGATGGTCGTTACCGTTCTTCATACCAACCTACCCTTCTATTAGCATTCAAGCTATCTGCTAGTTGTGCAGTAGCATGATCCCAGATTTTTCTATTCTTGTAATCTTTCTGCAAATATGAAAATTCTCACCTGTTATAATTTCCCCGTGAGAAATTTTGGGTTTTCTTATTCAATTAGTTCTATCGTATCTCCCTCTCAGTTTCTTCTTCCAACAATAATGTTCATCGTATAAAAGTAAAAATATTACGTACATATTTCCTTCTATTAAAGGACATCATTTGCGTCTTTAACTTTATATTTCATTGACCAATATATAAGATTTTATTTATATTTCTAAATTCTCATGCACTTGTACAGAATTTGAGACTTATTAAATAAAATAATGTCACGCCTTTCTATATTTTATTGATATTCTCATGTCCTGCAATATTGCCTATATGTAAAATGTATTTGTTAAAAAAAAAAACGAAAAGATAAAAAGAAAAGAAGGAAAGTATCTGGCAATGTTGGTCGTACATTGGCGACGTCTATGACTCTATGATATGCTGAATGCTGATGCTGTGGATGAGTATTCTGATATTTTGCTTGGAGTAGAATATAATGAGAAAAAAAACAAAAAAAAACATATCTTTAACCTCCTATACCTTTTTTAAGTTTTATTATAAATTATTGCACTTTGTTCTAATTTTGTCATAGGTTTCTAAATTTTTTTTAATATTCTATGTTTTTATACTTTTTTTAATATTTTAAGTCTTTTTATAAACAGTGTTATGAGGCTCAGAATAAAAAATATATAAAGATTTAAAATATTAAAAAAAAGTATAAAAATTTATAACGAAACTCAAATAAGTGTAAGTATTAGAAGTTATATTTTTATAAAAATTTATTTTTATTACCTATCTCCGGATGGAACATGGAATGCTATATTAAGGCTCAAGAATCACGCCGCCTGGGTTTGGTTGAAAAATATCATAGCCACAACTATCTTGTTCCTTTAAAAAAAAAAAAAAAACACAAACCGTTGAAATGTTTTTTTATTATAAGTTTTACAAGAGAGGGATGACCTTGATGAAACATTAATTAATTTTTTATAATATTACTTCTACTTAAAATTATTAATTATGAAAAACAATGTAATGTAAATTAAAAAAATCATTTAAATATGGGCAAAAAAAATGATTTCATCTTGGGACAAAGTTAATCACTTTTCTTTAATTTTGGTTGGTGAGGGTTAGAGATGACTTATAAGTAGAGGAGGGAGTATCATCTTATTTATCTTCAATCCAAAACTGATTTAGGAAATACACATTTTTTATATATTCTATCTTGCAATTCGTAGATATTACAAGTAGTGAAGTTTCAATTTTGGAAGGTTTTTCTCTAGCCTGATATCAAATTTGAAAGCCCACTCAATCAATAAAAAGAGTGCGTTTGAACTCCCTCCGTTTAAATCCTCCCTGTTTTTTTTTTTTTTTTTGGGCCAACTTTTAGATTCTCTTATATTTTTATATATAGAAAGGGAGGGGGTTATTTATTCAGGGCGCGATTAGTTTAAGTTTCAGTACGAATTTATTTCATTTCTTGATTTCAACAACCAATATAATGCCATGCATATTTTTAGATTTGATTTACCTGAATATATTTGGATTTGAGTTTGGTTAGTGGTCTGAATCTGCTCACTCAATGAATGTTTTGATTACAATTATTAGATTTTATCAATACTCAAAAATTACATAGATATTACTCTTCAAAAATTCAAAATAATCATCGTGATTAAAGCAGTGATCACACCCTAAATTTTTTTAAAAATAAATATAATTTTATTTATAAAAAATATAAAAATTATTGTTAGCTTCCCACATTTGAATAAAATTTTAGTTATGGCTCTTATGTGAAGAATTCTGAATTCATCCCTAAATTAAAACACTCTTCACATATATTATCCCCTTCAAAATAGCTGTTTAATTCAAGCAGTTGTTATTATATCATATGAGATACTCATTGAGGAGGTAAATTTAGGCCTCCAAATCGGCAAATCCAATATACTTTGGGAGGTAAACGTTTGCTTTATTAAAAATGTCCGCACGGAAGAATTATATCTTCCAGGACCAGGACATTTTTTATTAGGCCTAGAAGAGCCCAAAAGTGAAGACCACAAAAGAAGCCCAAACAAACAAGATATGACCTTTGCGACGCACAAAAATTTACTTCAGGCCTTGGATGACGTCATCAATTTCTCATCCCGCAGGGGAAAAAAAACTGGGCTATTTTAATTGTAAATCTTTCCGGCACCATCTTATCTTGACTGAGCTATACTTTTATATTGTAATTATTTTTTGTTCAAAAATAAATTAGAGTTGGTATCGCTCACTTTATCAAAAATATGAAACATTTGGTTAATGTGGATCAAAGTGAAAAAGAAAAGAGAAAAAAGGACAACTTTTGAACCAATTTCATGGCTCGAACGTATCAAACCACGTTGTAAAGCAGATTCTAACTATTCTGGCCCCTGCGATACGAAATCCTTCACTTTTCCTTCACTTTTTTATATTGCGTTAAGCTTCCTATGGCTAGTCACATCGGGAGCTCCTATTATGTTTGAATTAAGCAAAACCCAGTTTACATATAATCTCGAGATATTTTATGTGGACATGCTTAAAAGTGCAAACCCAAATTGCTCTACGTTTTGAGGCCCAAGCCATGGAGATTTTTTAAATTCATTAAAACGGTATCACCATTCACCATAATAATAATAATGCCAGCGCAAAATTTTTAAAAAAAAAATGCTTCTCAAGAAAATTTGGAGGACGGACTCTCGACACAGTGAAAGTGCGTCTTTTTAACAAGTCTACAAATTGGAGTTTGTTTAAGTGCCTTCATTGACCAAGTATCTTTATAACCTGCTCCATCCTTAGTAATACAAAGATTAAGATTTGACTAATATTTGCATTGACTTTACTTTGAACTTTCAATTACGGTAGCCCCATACCATCCACTGGAGCTTGACCGAATTCTTGCATCCAATATAAATATATGCAAGAAAAAATCAATCAAAATCAGTGCTTCAATAAATAGTTACCAAATCCATGCACAAATCTTACATACAAGGTCGCCTCATCTAATGTGATATTTTGCTGCATATGAGCATATTCTTGCGTTGCATTCAAATCTGGGACCTTAATTATTATTGCTGTGGTTATTCAAGTCGGTTTAGAGTTGTGAGGGTTTAAATTCTGTACCCACCAAAATAGACACATGAACTTGCGAAGCAGCGCCACCAAAGAGAAAAGTGTGAGACATTGCAGCCAAGGTGGGCGACCACCATGGTTCCCTTAAGTTCATAGAAATCGACCAATACAACTAAAGACAGGTTGGGAGGTTTTTAAGATTGAAATAACCTCTTGCGACATGTCCGCCTCCTTGTCTGGTTTTTGTTCTCGGAATTTACTGCTCTTTCTGCCAGTGAAAAGTGAAAAGCTCAAGGCAATTAAATGGAGTCTGGCCTGAACTGAATAATTTGTTCTGTAAAATTAATATCAGAGGAACAGAGAAAGAGAAAGAGAAGAAAAATTGAATCTTGAAGTAAATTAATCACAAGTAAACTGACACGGAAGGCTGTAGCATCCTATTAACAATGCCTCTCTCAAAATTGTAATTAGTACTAATCACATCACTGATTTGTCTAGATTAGTAATTTCGGCTGAAACACCCACTAATCCTACTTCTAACGTTGCTTGTCACCGACTCTTCCAAACCATCGTCACTGATTGAAGCTGACGCTTCATCGGTTCCTCTGATTGTGATCCAATTATCATCACGTGTCCATCTGGGTTCCCCTGAGAACTCAGCCAACCTTTTGATTCTATCAGCAGCTGTGTTTTCAAACTTCGTGCGAATCAAAATCCCGTGAGTTTCCGATTCCTCCATGGAATTCCAAAACCCTTGCTCAAGGACGCATGTGGGTGAACTCGAATTGAGTTTTTGAATTTCATTCACGGCGGATTTCGAATTGAATTCCGTGACGAATGGGTGGTTTAACAGTTGAGTAGCCGTCCATCTCTCTTTCGGATTCCTCTTCAAGCACTTGTCCAAGAAATCCTTTGCTTCCTCCGGTAGTAACCCTGGAATCTCCGGTCTCTCGCCAGAACAAGCAATCCGATGAAGAACAGAGTAAGGCTCCGCAGCGTTCGGCCACGGTGAAATCCCAGAAGCCATTTCCATCACTGTGCACCCAAGTGCCCAAATATCACCAGCACACCCCTGTTCTTCCCCACGCGCCACCTCCGGCGCCATAAACATGGGCGTCCCGCTGGTCGGCGCTGCCGTGTCATCAACACGCTTGGCACATCCGAAATCCGAGATCTTCGCTCCATCTTCACCAATCAATACGTTGGTGCTCTTAATGTCACAATGTACCAGCCCGTTGGAATGTAAATACTCCAGCCCCTGCAAAATCTGCCACGTGTAGCAGCCGACGAAACCCAAGTCGAGGTGGCCGCCGTGCCGTTGAACCGCCTGAAGAATATTACCAAAGGGCATGTATTCCATGAAGAGGTTGTAAAAGAGCTTGTTATTCTCTCGAGTAACATCACACCCTTTATAGGCGACAATATAAGGAGAGGATACAGTAGATAGGATGCTCTGTTCTCTCTGTAAGAACAGAGAGCGAGACAGCTCCGATGACTTGACGGCGAAGACGAGGTCGGAGCGGCAGGAGGAGGCAAGAGAGACGGTGGCGGAGGAGCCGTGGCCTAAGATACGGCCTCTGCTCCAATCCATAACGTGAAGAAAAGGCTTTGGGAATTTTTAGTGGCGATGAGTGAGAGGATTGATGGGTGGAGTCTATATAAACACACACGTTAAAGGGGAAACAAAGGGCACAGTGAAAGATGAGGAAGGGGGTTTATTTTTAAAAGGGGTTGGTTATAATGGCTGGCGCTCTCTCTTTCTCTCACTGGCTTTTTGGAGCCAATTTTCTCTCAGCGGGCTTGGGAATTGCTTCAAGGGGAGTCCTCCACGTGTCAAATTTCTGTAGGCGTTCCAGGCATCAGGTTGGCCCCGTCGGCATTGGCTTCCTAATTACCACGTGGAATTTGATTCCGGTTCCTTAATTACCACGAGCTCAGCAGCTGTGTGAACCAACACTCTGGAACCTCCACAACGGATCGCCTGAATTCTCACTCGCATTCTGAGCGACTCTGTATTTCTCAAGTGAGCTCTGATCTGTAAATCAAACCTCTTATTCATGGAAATTAGAATCATAGGCTGCTCGAGTTTCTTTTCCTTTGAAAAAAAAAAAATCAGTTTTCGCATCAAAGTGATATAGAATCTGGTATTAAAAAAAAAAAAGACAAGATATATTATCTGATCAGATATACACCCCTGTTAGCTCCACTAAATACCTATGAAATAATATTAACTAAGTTAAATAATTTATTAAAATTTTAAATTTAAAAGATTTAATCTAGATTCTGAGAGTTCAAGTAGAGAAATCCAGCGGTTATAAATATTACATGTCAAGGTGTAGCCTTACGTATAGATAATTTGAAGATTAACTAACGTGTTCACGCTTGGTTGAACGATTTGATCAGACACATATGAGCATTTGAAGATTGAAGTCTAAGATTGTGACACGTGGAGGTTAGAGTGTAGGATGAGGTAGCTGAAATGGACAATCAAATTAGAAAAAAATTCCAGGGTTTGTTTCGCAGTTGGCTCCAACTTTGAAAATAGACCCTCGTGTGGATGAGGGTGGGTTGAACCACTCATAGTTCATATATAGTACAATACAACGGTTGAAATTTAGCATCTTAATTACTTCCTTTTTAATTTAATGGAATGTAATTATGAGACTCCAAGTTTGTAATGGGTAATGTGAACGCCCAACTTTGACGAATTACAAGTCACACGAGTTCGCATGAGAAATGGGAAAGGTCAATGGGTGCAGATACACTGTGGTGAGAGAACTTCAAAGCCCGTTGTTCCGTTTGGCCATCCATCGATGCTTCCATTCATTTCCCCTCATTCCAATTTGAATCACGCACCGTCACCTTCTTTTCGTTGACGTTGACTCTGCCATCAATACAATATTCTTTCAACTTTTTTCACGTTGCAACCCGTCATTTTAATATATAGTCTCTCTGTTTTAATCCTCTTACATTTTAAATTATAAAATATTTTTAAACATAATAAAATTATACATATCAATAAAATTTATTAAATATATTTTACATCTTTATTTTTTAAAAAATATAAATTTTTAAAAATATATTTTATTTAAAACTCTTTTTATGAAGGAATATTAGAAGGAGAAAATGTGACTGGAATGATCATATTGAAAAAATATTATTAATAAAGCCTCATTTTTAGTATTTTGAGATATCAAATTTTTTTCAAAAATATCTTATTATTTAATATGAAAGAAGCATTATAAAATATTTTTAACTAAATCATACCACTAAATGAATTAGCAAATTTTTTTAAGATTAAACACTTTTCATAGTTACCTTATTTAATAGGACACCTTAATTTAAATTTTTTTATTAATTATACTCATAATCAATAGTACGTTTGAAAAAATATTATTAATTGAACCTTAAAAAATTCAAAATACCTTATAGTTTTTAACGAAAGAACATTGCTCACATTTCATTGTAAATGAATTTTAAAATTATTAGTGATTAAGAAATGCAATAAATATATAAAAATACGATAAATTTTATTACATTTTTCCCTTGTTTAATTGCATTGGATGGGAAAACAAATTTATATATTTAACTTTATATACTTAATATACTTGGTTTCAATTAAATCAAAACGTTTTAATTTTTTATATATTATTTATTTCATAACAAACTCTTCTTATTAATGTTTTCAGCACATAAAAATATATTTCTTATTATTTACTTAGATAAGACTATATTAAATATATTATATTAAGTACACCATTTGTCTTGTTGCAATAGGTGTAATATAAAAGCAATAATTAATTATATTAAATAAATTAGTTAAGTTGTTAGATTAAATGAGGGTAAAATGGGAAGAGCATCCCTCTCCCCCTTCCTACATCTAGGAGCTAGATAATTAATTTACAGAGATTAAAAAATTAATTGGGTTAGTTTTTTTTGTAAGTATAAAGAGTGGGACGACAAATAATATTTCCACCATTGTATTAAAAAGCAATGCCCTAGAATATATCCGATCAGTTGCCTTTTTTTATAAAAAAAAAATTGCCAGCATATCCCGATCATTTGCATTGAAAACTACACTTATTTACAAAAACCCCTTTAATATGTGTTATTAATGAGGATTAGGATGATTTTAGGCAACTACATGAATTGAGGTCTTATATTTAGTATCAAAGCAAGTCTCTCAATTAGTTTTTAATTTAAAATTGAGTAGAGTATTAAACACTACAATAATCAACAGCAACAACACGTCTTATTTTATAATATATACAAGGTATTACATGAATTATATTATATGATTGTATCCTATTAACAATCAACTCTTTAAAATTTGGAGGCAATAATTGTTTAAATTTAAAATAATTGATGGCATTGAATATTAAATTAGAAGCGATGGAAGGAAAAATCACAGGTGACGCAAATTGTTTGAAATAAAAAATACGAATTTACTATTAAACCAAGTTCGTTAACAGGGATGAAAAGGTGGGCGGATTGTGTAGATGATGAATGGGCCACGTTGGAGCGGGTGAAAATGGGAGGGCGAAAAGTACCAAACGTCAATCAGGATATGCCACTTTTTCATCCCATTTCCATGGCCACTTCTAGAAACAAGGCCATTTGATGCCCTCAAGCGAAGTAATCATAAATCATATCATAATAATAATAGTCTGTGACAATCAGGGACCGACCTCTTTTTTATTGTTTTCTTTCTTTATTTTTTTTTCTTTTTGGGGGTGTTTCAATTAAAAGTGTTTCTTTTTGTTTTAAATTTTACTTGCTGTCACGTCATGTGTGCCGCGCGAGATCATCGGACCATTCCTGATAATTCCTTTCCCATATCGCTCTTCCCCAATCAAAATCAACCTCGCATTTCACACAGTGCATCATTTCATCAATTCCACAACAATGCCTCATGATTCCGATCGAGAGCTCTTTCGTCACCACAAATGTAACGCTCGCATATTTAATCATCATTTCTTTCCCTGCCTTTCATTTGATTATCGTCATCATCAAGTAAAAGGCAACAACGGAAGCAAATCTCGTTTTATCACATCCCTTCAGCATGAAACACAAGTATTTTTTTTAATTTAAAATAAACATAAATTTTGATCCCAGTATTTTACTCATATTTTATTTTTAGTCCTTATATTTTTTTTTTGTTTTAGGTTCATAAAATTTCATTTTTCATTAGTTTTTGTTTCTCTATGAGTAAAGTATAAAGACTTTAAAAAATTTAAAATAAAAAAAATATAGGGACTTAAAATATAAAAAAATATAGAGATCAAAAATAAAATGCGAGTAAATTATAGGATAAAAATGATGTTTACCCTTAAATTTACATACTAATAAAGTTCTCATTTCTATAAAAATATATATTGTATTCTATTTTTACTTATAATCTCCATTACCAATATACTTTATGATGAGTGGGAGATATATTTACATAAATATTTATATTAATAAATATAAGTGGTAGAATGATAATTTTTTTTTTACACAGACTAGGTTGTGTAAATCAAGATTAATTGAGAGAAAATGCTTATATTTTGAATCGAAATGAGTGTATCGTCATTCCTTGATTTTATTATTTGAACACAATCATCTAATCTATAAACGTTTCAATTTATTAGAGGACAATGAGCTTCAGTTCTTAATAGCAACTAAAAAGAAGATGAGGATTGTTGCTCAAAAAAAAAAAAAAAACCAAACTCAACTAGAAAGAAGGGGCGTGCCAACACAAAGTACAACACACTTCTTTGCAATTAGTTTGATACTTTAGGATTATTGGGAGTGAATGAGGTCAGCGTGAATTAACAGTGATGGGGAAGGAAGGAAGAGTTAAAAAAAATAAATAGATAAAACTGAATGAAAAAATGAAAGGTTAATTGATTAATGGATAAAATGAGAGTGAGGAGTGAAGAAGCGGGATGACAAAGACCACACTCTTGAACTTAACGAAATCTATGATTGCGTGCGTTAGCTTTGATGGTTTGGAAACATGAGTGTCCAATCTTAGGCGTGAAATAAACGTTAACCAACTCCTCTCTCCCTCGTCCATCTCAATAATCACATAATACTCTCATCTACAATTTTATTATATTATTATTTATTAACCAATCACACATTTGCACCTAATTAAATAAAAAACAAAAAAGGTTGGGGTGGTGTGAAATAGAAGCTAACAGACGTCGTAAGTAACTCGTGATCTCCAAAAAAAGGGACAAATAAGAGCAGAGTTGATGCGGAGGAAGGTGTGATGAGTGCGGGAGGTTGAGAATGAGAGGGTTAAGTTACACGTCACAACACCATTCGTCCAATGAAATCGTGTGCGGTTACTCCCTAACTGTCCCCGTACTGTTGATCCCCCTCCAATTAGTGCAGTTACCACCTACTTAATCCACAGCCCAGAATAGTTGGGGCTTGGCTTAGAGGGGAAGGTATGATGTATGGTTATTGATGCCGGTGGCTTGGGTCACACGCCACTCACGCGGTCCTCTTTCCTTCTCGACCCGCAGAATAAAAGTAAGTTCTGGTTTCCATGGGGAAAAGTGTGGGGTCCGGGAGGCAACACGTGTGAACTGAGAGCATAAACAGCACGTTTTTACTCGCGCCGTCGTCAAAGTCACCACATTTCCATGTGGTTGGTGTCCTCCTCATCAAACTTAAATATAACAACGTAGCCCTCTGTACCATATTTTATTTTCTTAATTCTCATGAACCGCCCTTCCTGCCCTTTTCCTCCTTTAATTTCTCATATTTGTTTTTTTTAATCATATTTTAGCTGTATTTGATAGAATGCACCATCGATCCCATGCATTAGAACAGGGTAAACGCATCTCGAATATATTAATTCATTGGAAAAGTCACCTAATGTCAATTCATTTGTATGTATCTTGTCTTCATTATTTTTTTCTTGTTTGGTCAACTAAGTAGGTGTTATTAATCTAATTGAACTTTTGCTCTTGTTCAGGTTATTGACTAGTTCTTGCTACAAGTACAATTGTTCCCTCGGTCTCTCAATATTACCTTCTTCTTCTTTTTTAATTCCCCCCACCCCCAAAAAAAAAATGGTTAATGTGCCGTTATTTAAGTTACATTGCGATAGTTGCCCCTTCTCCCTTTTAGCACATTATTAATGTGGGGCAAGAACAGTGAATTTGCATATGTTTTCAAGAAATCGCAATCTAATTATTTTAAAAGTAAACTAATCAGACATGTTTTTAATTCGGTGCACTCATTTTCCTTAATCAACATCACGATTGAAAATGGTAGCTCGGATCAAAAGGTAGCCAATAAGATGTTATAAAACAAAATGGAGTAGATAAACGTTGGTAAAAAAATAAATTTAAATGTTACGCTCTCTTTTATGATCATATTAGATATATTATCGTAACATTGTAAATAGTTTTGGGGGGGGGGTGGGACAACGAAGAGTAAATGTTTAATGAAGTGGTAGGAAATTGAGTAATTAAAGAAGGGGCGGTCTGTGATGGCGATGGTGATTAAAGAGGAAAAAGAAAACTAGTTATGATGATGATTTTGAAACGAAAACATGAAATAAAGGCTTCTAAATATATATTGGTGTGAGAGGGACAGAGAGAGATGAAGTTGGGTTTCACGAGGGAAAAGGCCGAAAGGGCAGAAGAAGCAAGTTTAATTGGAAGGGCATGCTTGGCGGCATATTCAAAAAGTGCACCTTTTCCTTTCCTTGCCTTTCATTCTTCCTTAGACGTTCCGTTATCTCTCTTTTACTCCTTTCAAATTTCTATGTTATACAATCACATTTTTTTCATTTTATGTATAATAATAACATGTGTTAAGATTTTGAAAATTTCATATCAAAATAATTTATTAAAATGATTTCAATATTAATGAGAATTGTGTTTAGTAAAATAGATTAATCCTTCGTAATGTAGTAAAATAAAATTTAAATTTAAATTTTTTATAAAAGAAGTACTCATATTTAGTGCGCCTCTAATAGAAAAACACCTATGCATAACAACTAAAAGAAAATGATTTTAATATTTTATAACATTTTAATGCAAATATGTCGACAGCAAGGTCATAAACTAATGCTGGTACAATTTTCATGTCAGCAAATATACTGCAACTTGTTGGATGCTCCTTAAATTTGCGTAAATCTAGTAACTCTTAGGCCCGCTCTTACTCGCCCACGTGAAAGTGAATCCAACCCAAAGCTCATGCCATTTTTATCGCTGTTTCCAAGCTCGACCTTTCTCTCCAGTCTTTCCACATCTTCAATCTCATAATCACACTCCTATCTTTATCTATATCAATTATCACACTCAGTCCTTTCATACATTCTAAGTTTAATCCTCCGTCTGTTCGATCTAATTTGGTACGTTTCGAATAACGGCAACAACTTTAAAATCTTAACGTCAGACCCAAAAACTAAAATAACAATTCGACTTTATAGGAGCAGTATAATATGAGTAGTGGTGTCCATAGCACTAAAGGTGAATCGTGTGAGGTGCGTGGTTCACCATAAAAATTGAATGAAATAGACAAAAAGACTGAGTGAGTTTGATACTATGATATACACCTTTTGGCATTGTGATCTCTGTGATCCTGTTCCTTTAAAAAAAAAAAAAAACATATTTGCATGCCAACTAATCCCTCCAATAGTTTGTTAAACATGATTCTGCATCTTCCAAACAACATCATCTTTGTCCACCACGCTCATAAATTATTTGCAATGCCTAACCTGACAAATTCTCAATGGTGCCCTCACCCTATTCCCCCAATATATATTCATGTGGTCCGCAAAAACACTTGTTTTAAACTTATAATGCTGACAAAAAGGTATAATCTCTTCGTGCAGCCATTGAGAATACGAGTCTACAGCCGAAGACAACATTCGAGTGTGCCAATAAATATCAAGTGCCGATATGTTGTGCATCTAATTTAAGAATCAGCACAAAGAGAACAAGATACTATTTCTTAGAAGTCCTTATTGTGCTTTCAAGTAGCATCATATTGAAGCTTATATTTCACACTGCCTGAGGTATTATCTATTCCACATTTTTACGCTGCATATCACGAGTCTACTACGCTGATTCAGCAAATCCAACTCTGTTATTCCCATAGTCAAACACCGTGTGGTAGCGACCCATGAAAATATCCCCAAGAATCCTGCATTTCACAATCAACATCACTGGGTTAAAGGCTTGATCTATGTATCTTATTGTTTAGTCAGGAGAAAAGACAGAATCCATGAGCACTTCTCTATTTTCAAAGTCGTTCGTTTTCTTGAGAATGTTTTGAAAATCTCGATTCAGTGAGACTTAACCGAACAGAATGTCAAAAAAGAAGCTAAAAGCTATATAATTAATAAGTGACGACAGTACCATAGAGGCCCTCGAGGAGGAGCTATATCCAGGGCTATAAATCCACTTATGCATTGTGCTGCCTCTCCATCTCCCACTTTAAGGACATACTGATTCATGAAAACGCGTCATTAGTCACAGCAGAAGCTATGCTATATGCAAAATGTTTGGGTCTGGAAGTCAAGATACCTGGTCTGGTGAGAGGTCAAAAGCTTTCCCACCAATGGTGAATGCAATGTTCGGCATGGAAGCTAAGCTTCCACATTCAACTGCTGATTCTCCATTTGGATTGGGAAGCCGATCACAGAGCTGCACATGAGGTTAAGGGTTTGAGCTTTGGCTGAAAGGAAACTTTTTTCTGGGAGACATGAGATTAAGGATGTTTTACTTAACCTCATTAACATAGTCTAGGATCTGGTCTCCTGTCCCGTTTAGTTTCATCCTATTCTTCATCCATGCCACTGCCATCTCACAGAAAGTGCATCCAGTATCCCCAACGCTTTCAGATGCCTTCTCTTTGATATTCTCTACCACGCTCTTTATGCCCATACTGCACAAAGATGATCAAAGTGATTCAAAGTTACAGAGGAAGAGCCTGAGGTATCCTCATAAGGTTAAGCTTCAAGTGAAGGCTCATCAATAGTTTTTTATTCTGATCTCTAATGCATTTCCTTCTATTGCACTACAGGCAGAACAGAGGCCAACCTACCTTCTTTGGAAAATTTCACTTAATTACTAAAAACATGGGTATCAAGGATCAAATTCCTTCCTGATCACTTAGTAACTTCATATTAATGAATGCTTCAAATTCAAAATCTTAAACTTTTAGTGAACTTCTATTATAATCTTTGTAAGTTAGTAATGTTAATGCAGCCATTTGTCATCAGAACATGGTAATTCTGACCTTACACCACGAGTCCCATCAAAAGTACAGAAACCAATTTGAGAGCAAATCAGTTGTGGGAGAGTCTGTAAAGGAAGAAAACACGTGTATTGATGTATTAGCGAGATTCACTTCCAGTATCGGAAAAACATATCTTGTGAGTGATTTTTATCAGCAAACATAAGAAATAGAGACAGATCACGATACCTCATTTATTAGCATATCAAGTATGGTTTTTCCATACTGGTTAACCAATGCCTTGCATTCTTGGCTAACTAATCCAGCTGCCCCAATTGCATGATTGATCTGAGCAATTACTGTCTGCAAATGCAAAAGACATTGAGATTATGTACAAACAATAACTGATGCTATGACCAAAAACTTCTAATTCTATAGAACCACTATTTATTCCCTAAAATTGATTGAAAACTGCACACTGTAAGAAACAAATGAGCTTCTACAGGAGCTTTAAATGAGACTAACATAGCCACATACATTAGAATATGGAATCAGGAATGCTATGATATATTTGATTTTGTTCTGTTTCAAAACGATGAAAGGCAATCATTTCATACCGTTGGGCCTGCCAACAAAGAGGTTCCAGAATCTGCAATTGCTGAGCAACCAGCTGCACATACTCCTGAAAAGCGTGAAATGTGCATCTTATATGATTTATCAATGACTACCGCCAAAGGCCAAATTAGTAAAAATTGTATAGTCTCTATTCTCAAGAATACAAGAGATTAATGAGAAGATTCAGTTTATCAAAGATAGGTGGAGTAAATCAATTATGAATGGATAGATAAATCCATTATAAGTGAGTTGCAAAAAAGCACGACTGAGGTCTGACATTCTTTATATATATTACTATTGGTTTGGTTCATTGATGTTTCATGGAACAAATTTACATGAGAAAATTTTCAAGAATATAAAATAATGTTCAGAGTCATAAATACCAGTTGTTTCACCACCGATTAAGACATCTCCCATTTCAAACTGCATTGGTAGGGGAAACAGTAAGGGGGAAGAAAAGATGAAACCTGAAATATGTGATTTATTTAAAAAAAAGAGTTAAAGTTTCAAAAGGAAGAACCTGCCAATAGCCTTTCTGGGTGACTGGAACATAGGTGTGCTCGCCCTTGTAATGATCTGAATCAACCCCTCCAAATACGATCTCACCTCCTTCTTTCCCATCAATATTGCGGTTCAGCCAGAATGAAAAAACCGGTTCTTTCAAAAGTTGTTGATCAAGCATGTTGTACCTATGATTATCAGGTATCGGAAAAAAAACACAGTTTCAGTCAGTGACACTACTGTCGAATAGCACCAAAATTAATAAAAACTAGATTTTGCAGTAAAGTGCAACCTAGGTCGTCTCCCTAAGAGTCAATAGAGTAACTATTTAAATTATGATTATGAAAAGGTAAATAATGGGGGGGTTTTTTATGATGAAATTAAAAACTAAATTATAAATAAATAAATAGAGGAAATTCAATTAAGAAAATTACCGACAACAAGCAGCGCAATCAATCACAACCCAATCACCTAAATTTAACCTTCCTCGTCTACAAAATAAATTAATTTTATTCAACTTTATTATTCTGGTTTCATTATAATATTTCTCAAATTATCATTCAAGAATTAAACAAGAAGTTAAGTTATAGATTAATTGAAATCTCCTTTAACCCACAACCTAACAATTGTTTTATAGCCACACCAAAAACAAAACATGGATAATCACCCAAGCCAAGCCAAATTACTCTTACAATGCTATATCAATCGATTATAGCAATTAAAACCTCAGATAAAATTTATAACTCAAAAATTATGCAATAAAGCTACTCTAATCAGTAATAGTAATTAAAGCATAAAATTTAGAGGTAGAGAGAAGAAGAGAAAATTGGAATAAAACTAAAATAAAATCTTTCCTGAATATTAAAGACTCTGATTAAAATTTAGGATCATGGTTTGTGATTGATCACACCAAAAAAAAATTAGCTCTCCATAGAATTAAAAATCAAACAACATGAAATGAAAAATTGAGAAGCCATCACCCAAGAAATTGGAAGAAGGAAAGACGAATGGCGATCGCTGCTCTGTTTCCCTTCTTTCGTTTTTTTTTCCCAGATCGTGCTTCCTCTCCGTCCCCCATCTATTCATATATATATATATATATGAAAAGTGGACCCTAATTAAAAATTACACTAAATAATCCAAAATAAATTCAAATAAAATTTTAAAGATTTGATTCTTGATTTGATCTCCAAGCATGCCCATATTCTTCTTATCCAAAATATTCTTCATCAATATCTTTCAAATTGAATCTAGAAAATCTGCACAAATAAAATAAAATTAAATAGCACCTGTGCAAAAATATTAAAGATATTATTTATATTTTAAAATCAAAGATTTAGTTAGTTAAAATTCCAAAACTGAATATTAGCTAATAAAATCAAATAATATCTAATTAAACTCAATTAGCCTTAAATAAATAATTAAAAGTCTAAATTAAAAGAATAAAAATATATAAAATTATCATTTATCAATTCCCCCACACTTAGACTTTTGCACTCCTGGGCAAAACTTAAATCTCAAATTTAAGAAAAGAACTGTGGAAGCAACAAAGAATAAGAAATAATTATAGCTCTTCAACATTTTAACACTTTAATCAATATCTCTTATATTGAGAATAACAAGTATCATGGCAATTTCATTTGGTAAGAATAAATTAAGCAATAACCCCTCACAAAGGTCAAGTGTTTAACTCTCAACTCTCAAATGTATATAGGTAAGTGTTTCACTCAAGTTCCCCTATTAAAACCTCACTACCATAGGCTTGTTTATCATCTAGGTCTCCACTATTTATGTCATATGCAATGTAAGAATCAATAGGACTTTAGTTTAGGTTGTAATGGGGCTTAGGTAAAGGTATGATATAGGAAAATGAAGGTTAATAAACTTTAGGATAATGAAAAGTATATTTGAAACGAAATATATAGAATGAAAGAAACAAAATAAATTGATTTGGGTTTATTTTTCTCTCTTTATTTTGTTTTCCTTTCCTTTGCTTCATGCACCTTTTTTTTTTTTGTTGTGTTATGACTTTTATGCTCTTTCTTTTCTTTTCTTTTCTTTTCTTCCTTTCTTTCTTTGCTTTTTTTTTCTCTCGTTTTTTTTTTTTCAAAATAACCCAAATCTCTCTTCAAGCATATTCTTTCATTCCAACAAATATTATAATACACTTTTCATCACCTAAAGTGGGGTGAGAAGAATGAAAGGAAAATATTTTTATAGGTTATGTTTTCAATTGGCTAAAATTTTAAAGAAAAGGTTTAGGCTCAAAGGGGCTAACAAGGGATAAATTGCATGGGATGGCTATTTGGCTAAGTAGGCTAAAAGAATGCCTAAATCATCTTCATGCAAAGCATATGCAATTATAGTCTCAACTAAGAATCAAGACAAGTTCTAGAGTGGGAGTAGTGATAGCAGAATACACACAAAAAGAGAATAATATTAGGCTCAAATCTTTACAAGCTAAAGGCTATCACATTAATTCATTGAAACCAAACTCATGCCACTTAACTTAAATTCTAAACATAAGATCAATTACTTATCATGCTCAAATGCATTCAAACTAAAATTGTCTTAAATTTGCAACTTCGCACAAATTATTTTTTTTTATTTTTTTATTTTGAAAACAAGAACACAAAAATAAAAAAAAAATGAAAACAAGAAAAAAAATTAGAAACAGCAAAAAACCTCCCCCCACACTTAAAATCTACAATGTCCTCAATGTAGAACATAGTTCGAAAGATGTATAGGAAAATGTAAATTAAAAGTGAAGAGAAATGATACAACCTGATCGATTAAGTATTATCTTGGAGGGAAGACTCCTCCACAATGTGTGTCTCAAATCCATCATAAAAATGCTTTAACCGATGCCCGTTAACTTTAAACTTTGCTCCAGTAGATTCTGCCATAATCTCTACTCCACCATAAGAAAACACTTTAGTAACTATAAAAGGACCTTCCCATCTAGAACGAAGTTTTCCTGGCATAAGTTTCAATCTGGCATTATAGAGTAACACTTTTTGTCCCACCTTGAACTCTTTTCTAACTATCAGCTTATCATGTATTAACTTGGTCTTTTCCTTGTAGATTCTTGAATTTTCATATGCTTCCAAGCGAAATTCTTCAAGCTCTTGCAATTGATATTTTCTTTGGGCTCCTGCTTTAGTTAAATCCATATTGCACTGCTTTACTGCCCAATAAGCTTTATGCTCAATCTCCACAGGTAAGTGACAAGCTTTCCCAAAAACAAGCCGATAAGGAGACATTCCGATTGGAGTCTTGTAGGCAGTTCTGTATGCCCACAATGCATCATCAAGTCTCTTACTCCAGTCTTTCCTATTAGGTTGCACTGTTTTTTCAAGAATCTGCTTTATCTCTCGATTCGAGACTTCAGCTTGCCCATTAGTTTGGGGGTGATAAGGGGTAGCCATCTTATGCACGACCCCATACTTACCCAATAAACTCTGCATGCTCCGATTACGAAAATGGGTGCCTTGGTCACTGATAATGGCCTTTGGAATACCAAACCTGCAAAAGATATGTGATCTAACAAAATCTACAACAGCAATAGAGTCATCAGTTCTGGTGGCTTTAGCTTCCACCCACTTAGAAACATAATCCACAGCTAGTAAAATGTAAGCAAATCCAAATGAAACAGGAAAAGGTCCCATGAAATCAATACCCCATACATCAAATATTTCACAGAAAAGTAAAGGTTGTTGAGGCATCTCATTTCTACGGGAGATATTTCCTGTATGCTGACATCTAGCACAATGTTTACAAAATGTATATGCATCACGAAATAGAGTAGGCCAGTACAATCCAGAATCAAGAACCTTTCTAGCAGTGCGTTGTGGACCAAAGTGTCCTCCACAAGCAAGTGTGTGACAAAAATGCAATATGGATTCAAACTCAATGTCAGGAATACATCTCCTAATAATCTGGTCACTACATATGCGCCAAAGGTATGGATCATCCCATATGTAATATCTAGCTTCCCTCTTGAACTTATCTAATTGATGTTTCTTTAAATGCACAGGCAATGCAGAGGCAGCTAAGTAATTAACTAAGTCAGCATACCAAGGAGTAACATCATGCATAGCATATAAGCATTCATCAGGAAAATTATCATCAATAGGAATAGAAGGAACCATAGGAGATTCAATGCGACTCAAATGGTCTGCGACAAAATTCTCAGCTCCACTCTTATCCTTTATCTCTAAGTTAAACTCCTGTAGCAAGAGCATCCATCTGACTAATCGTGGCTTTGCATTTGGCTTCCTTAAGAGATACTTTAATGCTGCATGATCAGAAAACACAACAACTTTTGCATTCAAAAGATATGATCTAAACTTATCTAATGCAAAAACAATAGCTAAAAGCTCCTTTTCAGTGGTAGTATAATTGGCTTGGGCTGCATCTAAAGTTCTGGAAGCATAAGCTATGACATGTGATTTCTTATCAACTTTTTGTGAAAGTACTGCGCCAAGAGCATAATTAGAAGCATCACATAATAATTCAAAAGGTAAATCCCAATTTGGCGGTTGAATGATTGGTGGAGTGGTCAATCTCTTCTTTAACTCATCAAATGCTTGCTCACAAGCTTTATCAAATTTGAAATCCACATCTTTCTGCAGCAATCTTGAGAGTGGTAAGGCTATCTTGCTAAAATCCTGTATAAACCTCCTGTAAAATCCTGCATGTCCAAGGAAAGAACGGACCTCTCTAACACTAGTAGGATAAGGTAAAGAAGTAATCACATCTACCTTAGCCTTATCAACTTCTATCCCCCTCTCAGAAACAACATGACCCAATACAATACCTTGTCTAACCATGAAATGACACTTTTCAAAGTTTAATACAAGATTTTTCTCAATACATCGCTCAAGTACTTTATCTAAATTTACTAGACACTCATCAAATGAATCTCCATATACAGTAAAATCATCCATAAAAACCTCTATGCAATAGTCTAGCAAATCTGCAAAAATACTCATCATGCATCTCTGGAATGTGGCTGGGGCATTGCATAATCCAAATGGCATCCTCCTATAAGCAAATGTGCCAAATGGACATGTGAATGTTGTCTTCTCTTGGTCCTCTGGAGCTATGCAAATCTGAAAATAACCTGAAAAACCATCTAGAAAACAGTAGTGAGATTTGCCTGCTAATTTCTCTAGCATTTGATCAATAAAAGGTAAAGGGAAGTGATCCTTCCTGGTTGCATCATTTAGCTTCCTGTAGTCGATGCACATCCTCCAGCTATTTTGCACTCTCATAGGAATCAACTCGTTCTTTTCATTCTTTACAACTGTGATCCCGCTCTTCTTTGGCACTACCTGTACTGGACTCACCCACTGGCTATCAGAAATAGGGTAAATGATACCTGCAGAAAGAAGTTTTGTTACCTCCTTTTTGACCACATCAATGATAAGTGGGTTAAGCCTCCTTTGAGGTTGCCTACATGGCTTTGCACCGTCTTCCATTAAGATCCTATGCATGCATATATCTGGACTGATGCCTGGAATGTCAGCTAGTGTCCATCCTATAGCTTTCTTGTGCTTTCTCAGTACCTCTAACAATTTTACCTCTTGGCAAGGATCAGAATCCTTTGCTATAATAATCGGTAATTTCTTACCTTCATCTAAGAATGCATATTTCAAATGTTCTGGTAGATCTTTCAATTCAAGTATAGGTGGCTGCTGAATAGAGGGAACTAGCTTGTCGATAGTTAGCTCATCAACTCCACAAACCTGCATTCCATCAAAAGAAGCAGCAGTATCTTGTTCTAGAATACTAGAATTATCATTATTAATAGAATTACATGACATAGAGTTGATAGCAAAGTCTATAGTTCTTTCAGAGTCAGAAGCAATCATATCAGAGTCACTAGAAGTTTCAATGCCAATATCATGCATGGATTTGAATAACTCAACAATATCATCAGAACCAGAACAGTCAGAAGAATCTTCATAAATAATAGAGTCAGAACAATGTGTATTGCTATCTAAATCAACAATCTCAAGAGAACTAGAAACCATCTCATTGTAAAGCTCATCATATGTATCATCAATTAACATATCAAGCATGCTCACATTAATAACAGAATGATCCTCTATAGGATGTTTCATAGCCTCTAAAAGATTAAATTGAACAACACGTCCTGCAAATTCCATGGAAAGAGTACTATCTTTAACATTAATGATAGTATTAGCTGTCTTAAGAAATGGCCTACCCAAAATCAGTGGTGGTGGCCCATGACTATCATTTTTACCCATATCCAAAATATAAAAATCAGCAGGAAAGACTAAATCTTTTACCTTAACTAGAATGTCTTCAAGCATACCACTAGGATAGGCAAGTCTCCTGTCTGCTAATTGGACAATAATCCCGGCTGGCTTCATCTCACAACCCTGCAAAGAAGAAAATAGAGACTTGGGCATAACATTTATCGCTGCACCAAGATCAATCAAAGCGTTAGAAAATTCTAAATTTCCTATAGTACAGGGTATAGTGAAACTCCCTGGATCTTTGCATTTTAAGGGCATAGGGGGTTGGCACTGCATTCCTTCATGAAATAAAGCTGATACACTTCTTCCTAGATTGACCTTCTCGTTAGCTTTGAATCTTCTCTTGTTCGTGCATAGGTCTTTCAAGAACTTTGCATATTTAGGAATTTGCTTTACTGCCTCCAAAAGGGGAATATTGACTTCAACCTTCTTGAAAACATCAAGCACTTCTTTCTCCAATTCAGCTTCCTTTAACTTCTTGCTTTGAGTCTCCCTATTTGGAAATGGAAGGATCTTCCTTGGTTCCTTTTCTTCATTAGCCTCCTCAAGTGTGACTTGTGTTGCTGCAGCCGACTTATTCTTGATAGATGTTGTGGAGGGCTCTGGAAGCTCCTTTCCACTTCTAAGAGTGATAGCACTAACATTACTACAATTAGGATTTACAACTGTTTGAGAAGGCAACTTTCCAGAACCTTGACTCTTCAATTCATTAACGGAGGTGGACAACTGCCCAATTTGATTCTCCAATTTTTGGATTACTGTCTCAGTGCGTTGTTGAAATTGAATGTTATTAGTTGCCATTTGCTTCATTAACTCTTCTAGACTTGGTCCATCATTTTTAGACCCTGAAATAGGAGTAGATTGCCTCATTGGTTGCATAGGCTGTGAATTTTGACCTGTAGCATTATATTGTTGTTGTTGGCTTCCTCCATATCTGAAATTAGGGTGATCTCTCCACCCTGGATTATAAGTGTTAGAGAAAGGATCATATTTTTGGCCCTGTTGCATAGGTCTAGTTGGAAAAATCCCAGCACAATTCTCAACTCTATCATCCAACTGTGGGCATTGATCAGTAGTGTGTGTGGCTAAAAAACAGATGCCACATAGAGGCCCAACTAAGGCAGAAGATGTGGTAGCTTGCTGAGGATTATAAAATTGAGGTTGTGCACACGTCTGTGAGGGATACGCCTGTGGAAAAGTTGGCACTGCTGGTGAATTCATTAATTTTTGTTGTGTTAAGGCAATGTGCCGAACCATGCTAGAGAGCTCCTCCATCTTGTTCTCAAATTTAGGATCATATTGTGGTGTTGGAATCTCATTCACCCCCTTAACTGCTTGGTTAGCTCGTGTCCCAAATTGTTGAGAATTTTGTGCCATCTTAGAAATGAGATTCATGGCATCAGTTGGAGTAAGTTCTACCAAAGCACCACCAGCTGCGGCATCAACAAACCACCTATCTGTTGGTAAGAGACCTTCATAAAAATGTTGAACCAGCTGCTGATCAGGTATTTGATGGTGAGGGCAGCTGGCACATAATTTCTTAAATCTCTCCCAATATTCATGAAATGTCTCCCCAGTCATCTGACGAATCCCACAAATATCCTTTTTAATTGCAGCTGTGCGAGAGGCAGGGAAGAATTTTTCTAAGAATAACTGTGTCATTTGATCCCAAGATGTAATGGCACCTGGTTGCAAGTAATACAACCAATCTTTTGCCACTCCATCCAATGAAAAAGGAAAAGCCCTCAATTTGATTTGCTCTTCTGAAACTCCTTGAGGCTTCATGGTGGAGCACACAATATGAAATTCCTTCAAGTGCCTATTCGGGTCCTCTCCTGTAAGACCATGAAATTTAGGTAGCAAATGTACTAAACCAGATTTCAATTCAAAACTAGCATTTGCATCTAAATTAGGATATTGAATGCATAAATTTTGATAGTGTGCATTAGGAGCAGCCAATTCTTTAATTGTTCTATTACCATTATTATTTTCAGCCATATTTTCCAACTTAACTGTAGAGTCTAAGTCAGATTTAGAATCACTAATAATGCTATCAATCAATTCAGACAAAATTTCAGAGATCACACTATCCCTAATTTTACGGTGCTTTTGATTTTTACGGTTAGTACGACAAGTTCTCTCAATCTCAGAGTTCAAATCAATTAATTTATCTTGTAAAGATCTTGTCATGCACTAATAAACTGGAAAAACAATGAAAAACACCTAAAACAAGTAAAGACAAAAAATAATAATAAATCTTGAAAAAAATAAAAAATACTAGAGAAAAAAAATAAAAAAAAATAAAAATAATGAGAAAGAAGAAAAAAAAACTAATAACCAAACTCAAAAAGTTAACACCTTTGACTCCCCGGCAACGGCGCCAAAATTTTGACACTACTGTCGAATAGCACCAAAATTAATAAAAACTAGATTTTGCAGTAAAGTGCAACCTAGGTCGTCTCCCTAAGAGTCAATAGAGTAACTATTTAAATTATGATTATGAAAAGGTAAATAATGGGGGGGTTTTTTATGATGAAATTAAAAACTAAATTATAAATAAATAAATAGAGGAAATTCAATTAAGAAAATTACCGACAACAAGCAGCGCAATCAATCACAACCCAATCACCTAAATTTAACCTTCCTCGTCTACAAAATAAATTAATTTTATTCAACTTTATTATTCTGGTTTCATTATAATATTTCTCAAATTATCATTCAAGAATTAAACAAGAAGTTAAGTTATAGATTAATTGAAATCTCCTTTAACCCACAACCTAACAATTGTTTTATAGCCACACCAAAAACAAAACATGGATAATCACCCAAGCCAAGCCAAATTACTCTTACAATGCTATATCAATCGATTATAGCAATTAAAACCTCAGATAAAATTTATAACTCAAAAATTATGCAATAAAGCTACTCTAATCAGTAATAGTAATTAAAGCATAAAATTTAGAGGTAGAGAGAAGAAGAGAAAATTGGAATAAAACTAAAATAAAATCTTTCCTGAATATTAAAGACTCTGATTAAAATTTAGGATCATGGTTTGTGATTGATCACACCAAAAAAAAATTAGCTCTCCATAGAATTAAAAATCAAACAACATGAAATGAAAAATTGAGAAGCCATCACCCAAGAAATTGGAAGAAGGAAAGACGAATGGCGATCGCTGCTCTGTTTCCCTTCTTTCGTTTTTTTTTTCCCAGATCGTGCTTCCTCTCCGTCCCCCATCTATTCATATATATATATATATATGAAAAGTGGACCCTAATTAAAAATTACACTAAATAATCCAAAATAAATTCAAATAAAATTTTAAAGATTTGATTCTTGATTTGATCTCCAAGCATGCCCATATTCTTCTTATCCAAAATATTCTTCATCAATATCTTTCAAATTGAATCTAGAAAATCTGCACAAATAAAATAAAATTAAATAGCACCTGTGCAAAAATATTAAAGATATTATTTATATTTTAAAATCAAAGATTTAGTTAGTTAAAATTCCAAAACTGAATATTAGCTAATAAAATCAAATAATATCTAATTAAACTCAATTAGCCTTAAATAAATAATTAAAAGTCTAAATTAAAAGAATAAAAATATATAAAATTATCATTTATCAGTCAGCATAAAAAATAAGTCGATGCCAAGACACGTAAGTTATGAACGATGTGATTTGTTTCACATACTCATGTTTTTATTTATCATTAATTTTGTCTATAATTTTATTTTTTTAAAAAAACAAAATCTACCTAAGAATTTCTCCACCTTCCTACTTACCACACAGGAACAGCATTACCAACAGATATCTCTTGAAATCCGAGGCCTAGAATGCCATCAAACTTGGCAGCCAAGAATGTGATGCTAGGCTCTTTGGTTGCCTCAATAAAATCCTAAATAAAATGTTGCAAAGAAAGACTCAAGTAGTGAAATTGATGACGACAAAAAAGTTCCCATTCAGTAAAATTTTACCTGGTTTTCAACAACCAAATCACCAAGTCTAACATTATCCTGGCTAAAGAAACCTGATATAGCTCCGGTGCCATAATGGATCTCAGCAGATGTCCCTGCACCAAAATTTTTGTTTTAAAAAAGGACATCTTTTAATATATTGTCGTCCGGTTGAATCAACTAAATAGGTCAACGAACTCCATGAGGCATTTAGAATCTTGGAATTCTTCATGGAGGAATAAAGCTCGGGTTGCTAAGAGAACTATTTTCTTTTGCCAATTGAGCTAACCTTTTGGATTAGAACTTGGCTTGTTTCCCGCAAAACTGACTGTTTAAGCTTCTTCTTCTTTTTCCAAAGTCGATGCATAGAAGTATTATAGTATGAGGTAAATCCCAAAGAAAATGGATATATAATCAACTTTTATCATCTGCATTGTCTAAAAATTCTTTTCTTTTCTTCACGAATCTGGTGGTAAGAGGGCTTAGTTAATGGACTCCTTCAATTGCATTCAAGCACACCTCAAATGATGAATATCCAAGAAATAAATTTCAATTTGTGTTCTAGTTAGAAATAAACCATAATGACGAGGGGGAAGCGATGCAGGAACCACAAAGCAATTTTTAGTTGGTAATTCGGGAGAAATGAGCAATAAGCTTGTACCGTTTTTGGCGTAAGAGATGGACAGGCTTGACTTGTATCTTGAGTGCAAATAACAAGCAACCTGCACTTGGACAGTATCACATGCTTTTCTTATTCCTATCCAATTAAAACAAACATTTCAATATGACAAATGAAAATAATGAAAGAAAGATTGAGAAGACATACGGAAAAGTAGCATTTAGAGGAAGGCACCCAAAGATTAGAACTTCCAGTGTCGAATATCACAGTAAACTTTTGAGAAGGAGTTCCAATGCCAATCTCACCAAAATACTGAGCATTTATGTAGTTCCTTAATCCAATAATACTTGTGTCACCAGAACTCCTATATCTTCCACTAGAATGATATATTTTGGTTACTTTAAATAAGTCTCCTTCCTTAGATTCAGCTTGTCCGGTGTGCAGATTGCTTTTATCCAATTTATTCTTTTTTAATCCAATTCTGATTAACCCATGACTTGGTGCAGAGGGGACCACTGGGTGAAGAAGTAAAAAGAGAAGAGCAACCAAAGAACTGTATTTTGAAGCCATTTTTAAATTTCTGTAGAAATGAAAATGCACTTGAATATGTCAGGACACAATCTCAGCAAAAGAACAGAACTTTAAACACTGACATAAAATAGAACTTCACCAGCACAGAGGGATGAAAACATCGAGAATGGATTGGCCCCAAGGAAGAAACCATGGAGAATGAAAAGGGAAGAAAACAAAAGAAATACGAAGTTTTTGAGTCACCCACCTGAGAATCAGAAAGAGAGAGTTGAACCGGAAGACGTGAAAAGAGAGTAACAAGAAACTTGCTTGCCAATCCCTCTTACCATTACCAACGATATCAGCTGCCAGTCCTGCGCTTACCCACCCTTCTTGTTTGCACAAGGCATTCTACCGCCAAATGCAAATTCAGAATCGTTATTGCTCTACTTTTTGTTTTGGGTGTCTTTGGGCTTTTTGCCGTAATAGCATAATGTGAGTTAAAAATGTGTTTGGGCTTTGTTCCTAGCCCCGTAGGGTGTGACCAGGGTCTGTTTAATTTGTGTGAAGAGATCAGACCGGAAGCGGATAGAAAGATTATGTGACTAAGAAATATTTTATTATATTAATTATTAACTAATAGTAATTAGATTATACAAACAAAAATTGTTCGTAGAACTATTTTTTAGTCTTACAAGGTTTCTGACTAAGGTTTCTTTATTTTTATCTTTTACGTAACTATTATTTTATGAAAAATAATTATAAACCAAACTAATATATAATAAATAAAAAGTACTCATTTACTTATCTATGTCAAAGATAGTACAATCTATTGTGGGACTCAACTGTGTTTGTAATAACAAGTTTTTATGTCCAACTAATAGCTTAAGTTTGTTTAAGTAGTCTAAAGTGTCAATTTCTCAAGTCTCATGAAATCAAACTTTAATACTATTTGTTTAAACCAAACACTTGATTGCTCCGCAATTGTATAAAATTACAGTAATAATTATTGAAGTATTTCAAATGTTGAAGTGCTGAACCCACAAGGAGGTGAAGATTTTGTTATTTCAATTAATTTTAAATAAAAAGGATTGAGAAAACTATTTGAATTGAGAATTAAGTAAAAAAATAACAAAAATAAAGATTAGCAATAAATATGTAAATATTGGAGTAGCTCAAGAGTTTTCATGAAAGCCGGGAAAGAGATTATTAGCAGTCTCATCTTTATTATTTTATTGGGGGGGTTTTTGCAAATGTAACCTGTGTTATAAGACCAAACGAAGCAAATAGCTTAATGTTTATTATGTTTTATGTTATGATCAATTTATTATATTTGTTAATAATATACTATTGTAAATTGATTATACTCCTAAATTTTCAAAAATTTAGTCTATATTCTGTTGGCACAAGATTTTTTTTCTGTTAGTGGGCTAATTTATCCCATTTTTATTTTACTCTTTAAATTTCTATGGGATTTATATTTATGATTGAGCTTTCAGAATAGTATTTTATTTTTTTTATTTTTAAATTATTCAATTGGAGTTGGGATATAGCCCAGCTAAAAAATCATTTTCTATTCCTTGGTTTGAAACTCATGGATTTTGATTTATTTTTTAATTATATTTATCTTTCTTATTATTCATGAAAATTAGGCTTTGATATCACTTATTTGAATAGGAAATGGGAAGAAAGGACAAAAAACTACATCTTAAATCAAAACATTAAAGCTAAAGTTTATAAGTATTTTTTGTTTATTATAAATTAATTATTAAATCTAACTTAATTCAATGTTGAACTTCTTACATTAACTTAAATCTACTTACATTTGATCAATTTAATTATTATAGTTATAATTTTAAATGAAAAGTAAATGGAATTGGTGAGTTCAAGAATTTTTTAATTCCATCACTTCATATCTCATGAAACCTAAGTTATTATTACATATAACCTAGACTAATTTGGACCCTCATTGTACGTAACCATTGATTATCAAAAGCTACCTCATCGATACCCTATGAATGCTTTTTACATATTTATTTAATATGATTATATTTTAAGACCCGAACTTAAACTGCTAGACTAAATTAATTTAACTGTCTCGATCAGTCAAATGAAACACATGTCAATTAAGTTCAGGAATTTAATTGCCGATCATATGGGTTAGAAAGAGCCAGCAGAGGCAACCTAATTTTTTTTTTTTTTCCCCAAAAGCAATGACACCGTCTTGGACGATTTCTTTGACCCCTTTTTTCCTTGTCCTTGTTTCCATTATTTTATTAACCTTTTCCTCATGAAAAGCTTACAAACATCCTGCGGATTACCAAGCCGCCAATCTTCCGCCGAGTTTCATGTGCTGAATTGAAAAATACATGCAGAGTTATTAAGCAACACTTTGCCAGCCTTAATTACATTCAAATCTTAGTTACATTTTCTGGTCACACTATAAATAACTAAAAAATTGAATCTATGCTGATAATACCAAAATAAATAATACTAACAGAAAAAGAATAAATTCGTCAAGTTTTAGAGCTTGACTCAAGAAAAAGAAATTAAATCAATCTAGTCTAGCTAGTCTAGTCATCTGCCTAGTTGCCTGAAAATTTGGAATCATTGTTATTGCTACTCGTAACATTGCCATTATTATTGTCACCATTAACGTTACTGGGCAGCGCAGAACCCATGATCGACGTAATAGCGGCCGTTAACGCTGCCGTGAAGTTAGGGTCAGCTGCTATAGCAGCACTTAGTTGCAGAGGGTCTTTGTTATTCACTTGAAGCCCTGAGAAATTTGACTGGCTGTTACAAAGTGCTTGAGCCAAAACCTGAGTGAAACCATGAGAGGCATGATTTGAGAAAGGCATTTGAAATTGGGTGGATGGCTGTGTTGTTGGTGGGTGAGTCAAGTCCAATGTTACAGTCGGAAATGGAGCTGAGGCTGAGAGAGTCGCCATGTTACTTGAAGAACAAGGAAGCAATGTCGTCCTCGTCAAGAAGCTCGCATTCATCAGACCATCATTGCTCGACATTGATCCTGAAAGCAACATCTTTGCCGCTGATGATGTTGTTTGTGCCATCGCCATTGCTGCTGGAGGCAGGGCGTGGTTATGATTTCCTTCGTACGTTGTCACCAAGATTGTTCGGTCCTCTGCACACCTTTGCACCTATGATTTTGTCCACAACGCATAAATAACCAATTTATTATATATTAAATTTTAATTCACTTACATTAATTTTTGGACTGCACTATTAAAGATACACGCTTTTTGTTTTCATGCATAATATTTAGATCACTCTAATACAATAGGAGTTTTTAAAGAAAACCAAAGTACTTGAACTTATATAATCAATATATTTTTTTCCTGGCTAATTGATGAGTCAAAACAAGTGGATTTTAACATCAAAAATGTATTCAAAGTACTAATAACAAGAGTTAGTTACAACTTAAGTAATGGGGGAAATTCATTTATGATTAAATTTTGATTGGTCAACTACACTTGTTTTGTTCTGATTGGTTTATATTTTTTTTTAAAAAAATATTGAAATCCAATTTTCCCCATTTAGTTTATTTAAGTAAATTTAAGCCCCTATTCATTCATTTCTGAATCCGTGCCTGGATTTTTCAAAAAATCGATGAGTTGAGCCCTTGTAGAATTGAAAGAAATTGAACTGGATGGGTTATAAAAGTTACCTGTTTCCTAACGGGACAACCTGCAGCCATGGTACAACGATAATAAGCTCGAGGGCATGGATTCCCTTTCGCCATCTTCTGTCCATATTTTCTCCATTGACATCCATCAGTGATCTGCTCATCACATTATCTAATCAGTTCATTAAATTCGCAAGAAAAACTTAGCAAGTTCATCGTAAAATCCAGCTATAACACCGTATGACACGCACCATAGGGGCTTCTGATCGAGCTCTAACTGAAACTCTTGCCCTCCTCATAGTGGCTTCCACTTGATCATCAACGTTTTTCGGAGGACTATACTTTTGAATCCTTTCAGCTTCCTCTTCAATTTCAGCTTCTTTGTTCAATTCCTTCGCGTCGGACCCAATCCTGGTGCTGCATTCCACTTCCATGGGTGATCTTGATCTGCCGTTGCTTCTCCTTACGGACGGAGAAAGCGAGTGCTCATCACTGTTGGCCTCGCCATCATCGATTGAAGCTAATCCAAGGTCTATAAATTGCCTCGGCACCAAGGTTCCTCTGCTATTCTCAGCTTGTTTCTTTTCCTCTGGACTCGCACCAAGCACTTGGTGTGCAGGTTTCTCAGCGTCCTCACCTCCCTTGCGAGGTTCTATAATTCGCATCTTGAGCGCGTTGTAATTGGCGTTAGTCTCATTTATCATGTCTTTCAGCTTATGATTCTCTTCCACTATCTTCTCTAACTCACCCCGAAGAACAGCAATCTCAGTCTGCATCAGCAAATAACAGCCCCAAACACACACGTAAACGATTCGATTCCAGAAAAACAAAAACAAGAACCAGCCAACGCAAAAAAGTCATTCAGTACACTGTTACATCTAGATTTCTCAGCTCAGTCTTGATTCGTTTCTCCTTAAAATTAGAATATATGGCCAGCGCATCATCGGCCACGGATTGGTCGCTGTTAGTGGTTAAGAGATTGAGGCCAGTCTGGAGACAAGAAAGAAAACCAGAATGAATATCAAACAGAGGACATATATATATATATATACACGTATATGTATATGTATATAAAAGAAGACGAGTCGGGAATAGAATAAAGAGCTCACGTTTACTTGGAAGGGAAGGGGATGGGGAGGGGTGGAGGAATCGGCGTTGGCAGAGGCAGAGGAAGGGTTGTTGGAGAAGAAGTCCATCTCGTGGAAAGGGATGGAAGAGTCCATGGGAGGTTGAAGGGCGTCTTGAGGACGGAGAGAGTTGAGGAAGAAGGCGCTCGCAGCTGGATCTGAATCAATGTAGAGTCCACACGCTCTGGCCATGAGTTTCTATAAGAGAGCGAGAGAGAGAGAGGAAACAGATCGACGAAGACTAGAGAGAGAAGTGAAGTCTTGAAAAGTGATGCAATGGACTCGGCATTAAAAATGGAGGAGCAAGACTCATCAAGTGTTCCCAAGAGCCTCCCCTGATCGTGATCCTCTTCGTGTTTGCGTTGAACTGTCAAACCTTCCCCATATCTCTCTTGCATCCTTTTTTTTATTTCCATTTCAATTTCAATACCTAGTCTTCCATTTTTAGTCAAAATAATATTTTTAAATTTGAGTGATTTTAAACTATAAAATCTCTTTTTTCATATTTAAATTTTGTAAATTGATTCATTAGGAAAAATATAACTGTCAAAATTTTTCCCCCACTATATCAATTTCTCAAAGTTTGATCAGATTAATTTAGTTTTTATAATGTATTTGAGATGAAGAATTATAGGAATTGAAGTGTTTCAACTCAAAAAATTGTAAACATTGAAATGTTCAACATCAAAGTGCATAAGCTGAAGTAGTAACCAATGAAAAAAAAATTGATATTTATATCACACGTGCATCTTACGAAAATATACCCCAATTGTGATACTTTCAACAGGTGTCACATGTTAAAAAAGTTCAATTTTTTACATCTCATAAAAAATTTACGTCTTGTTTCAGTGTGGTCATTGTTGACAACAAACGCATAATTTCTGATGCATACTTAGACTGTATCAACTGATAGAGAACAATAAAATGAGAAGGAAGGAAGGAGGAGATTGACGCGCTCCAATAAATAAATAAATAAATAAATAAGAGTGTTAAATAAATAAATAAGAGTGGGAAAGCGAAAGGGGAGGGGAGGGCGCCAGAGTCCAAGTCAACGATCTCCAAGGGAGTGGGGCCCAGGACACTCTGTAATGTTGACTTTGGACACGTAAGAATCATGGATTCGATTCGGGGTGACCCGATCACATAAAAATCGCATCCAAACTAAAGGTCGTTCCTTTGCTGTAATCAATCTGTCCAAGTATTTTAAGTCCCTGTAACCACCCGCCACAGTCAACCCTCCCTCTTCTTCTCCCCCATCTTGTTTCCTGAGCCTTTCATTTCTTCTTCTTATTCACTCCTCTCCCCCCTTTTCCTGAGATCTAGTCTCCCATATCATATCTTTATCTCCATCCATAACAATATTTCAATTAATCTTCTTTTTCTCTTTTTTTTATTTTGTTCAATATTTTCCTAGTAAATTAAAATAAATATAGTTTTCCCATAAATGTATCACATAAACTCGTTCATGCTGGCATGATTTTTCTCATTATAGTATATTGGAAGTTGATTATTGCTGTCCTCTAATATTGTTTTTTGGCCGATTCCTGTGATTAAGATGATGGAATGGTAGAGGAGAAGCACACGTGGACAACTCATTTACTATTAAAATTAAAAAAAATATGAATATTATTATTTATACCAAAGGGTCCACGAAGGTAGTCACGTACACATATCTTGACGCTGCATCACAAATTACCTCGTCAGTCCCCCTTTCAATTGCTGGCATTATTTCAACATTATACGCTATTATTAGTTGCAACTAATTTGATAACTATTTTGATTTCGTGGTCATAATTTTTAAAATCAATGGATTTCTTTCAAATATACCACGCACAGTAATTATGTAAATATACATGTTGTACACATACTACAATTAATTGCGACATATTATAGGGAGTGTTAAATTATAGTAATATTAAGGTAAATATATTTATTTAAACATTTCTTTCAACCGTCTAAACAATTAATTATCCCTGGAGATGTATATTATAATATTTCAGATAATTTTTAAAAAGATATTATTTATAATTTGTAAAGGGATAAATGACATTTTCTACTCTCAAACTATTCTCTCGTAACACTGAATATCCTAAACTTTCAAGAATGGTTACTCTTGACTTGAAAACGCGTTAATGTTGTCCAAAAGTTAACGTTAAAAAGTTTCGTTCTGACCAAAAATATTGCCACATCACTGGTCTTTACCTCTCCACGTCATCGCCCCCACACCACACAGCGTACGCCCTCGCATTGTCGTATACTGCCACCCATCAGCTCTCGTTGCTCAATTGCGAGGCACTCCATTCATTCCGAAAACCATCTTCCGGGCACGGCTATGACGGATCCTCCAGTGCGCCGGTCGAAGAGTGAAGGAATTAGGATTCATGGCGATGATGGGTATTTTCATCATTTCATTTCATTCATGGTGATAGGCCCCATTTCGCGATCTGGGTCTTCGACTCCGCGGGACCATACCAACGCCGGCGTATTGGGAATGCGTATAATATAAATCACCAATATTACGTACAGGTCCTTAAAACCGTTTAGCTTCCTGTTCTTGCGGTCGGTCAGGGGTGGAGCCCGGAACGGTAAAGGAGGGCTCAGCAGCAGAAATGGTCAGCCAGAAACTAATAGTGTTGTATTATTGTGTATTTCTATTCTGTGATAAAATTCCTGTAATTTCCCGCCCAATACTTTCTTGAAATTAAAAATATAACAATATTATTATATCATGTATTTTTCTCTTTGGGGACCAAATCCTTTCCACTTCAGCCAGACTCCGATCTTCATTTTCATTTCTGCTTTAATTTTTTTTCATTGCTTTGGAGCTAAAATTTAGCTTAACGTACATAGAAGATGCAAAATTTCCAAGCCATGAAACTTCCAAAAAATTTTAATTTCTTCCACTTCTCTTCTTCGTTATCAGCTTTGCTTCATTCCTTTTATCTATCTTATTTTCTGTGGGTCTCACCCATCCATAAGTTAATTGAAAACCATATTTCTTTTCTTCAAAATATATAACATTTTTAACTGTCTCTGTGTGTGTGTGTGTGTGTGTGTTCTAAGACAACTTTATTGATGTTAAAATTAGCTTATTTTCTACGTGTCTTATACATTTTGTTGGATCCCATGTACTCTTAAATAGACATGTGAATATAGGCATCAGCGTACGGTGTGTCGTGGGGAAGGGACGAAATTGCCGAGACGTATGAATTATGAACTGATAAAATTAACATGAATATCGATCTCCAGAAAAAGGAGTGGCCTGTAAGTTTGCTCAGAATGTAACAATGAGCACACCAGTTTAATTTGGAGCAGTTCTTTATGGAAATTACACCGCAAGATCCTTTTGTTCTCGTCAAAGGCATCAGCTTCCATTCCCACCGCCTAACTCCTATGACCGCCATGCACGCTCCTTTTCATTCTTATTCAAAATTGATCCGGGAGGTTTGGTACATAGAACCGCAATAACTGATTCAAAAGCAGCATTTTTTAGTCGGTTTCGCTTTCTAACGTTGAAAGCAAGAAGGATTAGAGAGACCAGCGTCTTTGTGGTGTTGGTTGGCTATCAGATTAAAGTTGTTGGACCAGAGCTCCATATTGTGTGTGTTCTTGGGAGCGACATCGTGATAATTAACTTTTGAGACTCATGGTCTTTCTCCTGGCAGATATTTCTGACTACGTCAACATAAATAATATTGATTAGCAATTCAGCATGGCCCGACAGCAAACCTGGATTTTCCAAGTAAAATAAAATTTCTTCTCATTTTGCCCCGGGACAAATATTTAGGGAAAGCCACGCTGCTACATGCAATATTGCACGATCGCACGCGCTCCAAAAACAAAAACAAATATTACATGGATAATAAAGGCATGTTTGGTTTCTATTCTCATTTTTTATTTTTAAAAACTGTTTTGTGATGCAGTTTTTAAAATTATTTTTTAAAATAAAATAAAATGAAAATCAATTTGATTATGTTAATTAAAAAATAATTTTAAAATTTAAAAAATTAATAATAATGATTATAGATAGCTAGTGGTGGTTATTAATAATAGAAAGTGGTCAAGATAATTATAATTTTTATTAAAAAATGTAATGTATTTTAAAAACAAGAAAAATAAAATAAAAATAACTTGAAGTTATTTTTTTTTGTTTTTAAAAACAAAAAATACGAAAATAGTTTTGAAAACAATTAAATGAAACACACTTATTCAAATAAGTTTTAAAATTTTTCTGTTTTTTAAAAAAATAAAAAATAAATGAACTTTGTAGTAATTAATTTTTTTATGTAGAACTTCAATGTTATTACTTCCAAATTTTTGAACTTAACTGCTCATTGTCATCTATGTGATTTATTTATTTTCTAATCTTTTCAAAACTAATTAAGTAATTAGAATGAATATTTTATTTTTTATTTTGAATTTTCAAAATTCAAATACAAAAAGTTAAGGGTGCTTTCGTGTGCAAGGACATCTGAATTTAGATTTGAATCAAGTTTTTTATTTGAATACATTAAAATATTTGAATTTCAATCAAATTCAAATTTATATTTTACGATAACTTTTTTGTAATTTCAAATTTTATCTAAACCCTAATTATTTAAAATTTCACCTATTTTAACCTTGTTATTTTCGTCACATTTTCACTATCACTGTATATGCTATTTTTGTCACTCCTCCCCTCAATTCTCATTATTGTCTCTAATTCATTAAAAAATAAAGATAAGTTTCTCACTTCTAATATTTCATTTTTACTTTAAATCTCAATTCATTTCTTTTTTCCTTAACTTTTTTTCCATAATCCAAACAAATGACTTAAATACATGAATTTTAAATATGCTATTTAAAATTTAAAATTTAAAATTTAAATTTAAGTCTATCAATTCAAATGCCATTCCCCATTCAGCTCTCTCCCTCCAGCCACATCTTATCCGGAGGCCAAACGTTTGGGTTCCAAATTAGCGAACACAATCCACATCGAGTAGAACTATCAAATGTCAAATCTAAACCACGTGAAGAAGGTTCAGAACTTGTTTTTATTATACATTACAATAATTTAGACAAATACTACGTACGTGTGTGCATGAAATAAAACAAAATGGTAGGTTAACTTTTTATTTGCCAGTTTACTTTTTTGGCTATATGTATCTTAACATACAACAGCCAAGCCATGCAGAGATGAGAAAAAGAACCGAGTACATTGCCACAGGAGCTAGCCAAAGATGTATATTAACATAATCATCTGAACCGCGTGCGGTTTAGATACACTCTTAAGCCGAATTCGACGGAGGCGCTTTCATGAGAAACAAGGCAAGCGTAACAAACAAGCATCCAGGAAAAAAGAAAAGTACTCGAGATTAAGTAAAGGATATGACAGCCATATTCAGCTAATTTAGTTGGATAAATAACGAGTCATCCAGGACTGGAAGCGAGACCAAGCCAGCTGAACTGCGGCTTCATCTTCATCTGGCATTCCCATGCCCTTCCTCCTCTGGATTCCTTCTGGAGATCTGTTCATGAATGCATGTGCATTGCCAGGATACAAGTGCACCTCATACGGAACTCCAGATGCCTTCAGTTTCTCCTCCAAGGCCTTAGCAGCCTGAAACATCAAATGATGTCAGAAGACACCACAAACAGATAAGACTCAAAAAATACGCATTTCGCCTTGTCTGATGCAGGGACCATTTCTTGAACTTATTTCAGAGAAGCTCTAAGAATAATTGATAGGATAGAGACATTAAAAACCAGATATGGGAACACAAAATTTGGGTTTTGCCCCTGCAAAGATGAAATTAGAACAATAGCATCACAGGAGAAGCATTGTGTTCCTTTCAAGGGAAACACAGGCCCTTCCTGAACGTGCAACAGGAATGCAGAGATAGAGTTCAGAAAGATAGAAATGATGCTTCTGTCATTCAAAACCGTACTTTGATAGCATAGGGCTTTTTATCGTCTTTCTTTTTTGGGGGAAAAAAAAAGGAATTCACCAGCGGGGGCTTTAGCAATTATTTTATATAAATGCCACATGTTACTAATTTGAAGGTTGGATCAATTCAATGGATGATACTGAACAACTGCATCTTGTGCAGTCCTTTATCAGCTAGCAAGAAAAAAAAAAAAACCACTTAAACTGTTAAGGTTGGATGATGGATCCAAACTAACAACAATTTAATGCCAAGAAAATAAAAGTTTACCTTGTTTAACAAAATACTCATCAAGAGAAGAAAAGGAATCTGAGAATAAGACACCAACTCATCTTGGATGCTATGAAATTACGAACAAAGTGCACATATGGGCAGTCTAGAAGCATTTGAAAGGCCATGCAGGTTAAAAACATGATTTTTTTTCTTTTGTTGGGTTTCCTGTCACACTTTGGCAACATTGGAGTGACCAAAATGCCAAAGGTTGAAACATCACTATAGAGATTGGGTTGTGTTAAAAGGTACAGGTCTGGGCTGAACAGGGTTTGATTCACTTATGACCATAAGAATTTGCAATTTCAACCCACAAAAAGATCCTCAAGGAGGAATTGGAGTTGATGTTTAAGAGGTGAATCATAATGACTGAAAACTATCTAGTTCCTTTTACTAAGGCTGCAATTATTGTAGGTTGAGATTAATAAAAGCTAAAAAGCAAACGGAAGCCAAGCTACGTTCATGTCATTTTCTTGCTGAACATAAATGAAATAATATGCAGACTACATCTATTGGCCATTCCATTTTCATTCCATCTTGATTCTTTTACGAAGAGAATGCATATTAATTCAAAGCTCTGATTTGTCAACCATCCATTTGTCTCTTACTAACTCCAATGGACATTGATTTTAAGCTCTAGAATCGATGAAACTCCCTGAAAACAGAAGTCATGTTTAACAGAGGACAAAGATAATCCCATACCGTGACATCTGAAAAGCCAACAAAATTATCCAGTTCACCAAAGTGAGCCTGAACAGGAGCCTTGGCTTGGGCAGGGTCTGCAAGTTCTGAAGAAGGGACTCCATAGAAAGCTACAACAGCATCAACCTCTGGAACCAAGACAGAACTTGCAATAGAGAGAGCACCACCCATGCAAAATCCAGTAACACCAGACTGTGGCAATAATTTTACATTTAGTTTATCAAAAGGTCTAGCTTCAATTGGAGCAATACGTTAATTTGAAATTATACTCAAAAAAATGAAAGAAAACAGTGTTAATCAAATCACAAATTTTAAGTAAAAAGACAAACCAATGCTGTGCTCACTATTTGAAAATCTGAGGATCTCAACCGTCAGATTTTAAACTTATGACAGGTTTGCTCCCCACCCATAATTTTTTAAGCCAATAATTATAAATTGCTTTCAATCAATTTCCGTCTAGTGCTATCAATACATTATTATGATCACTATCCTCAGTTTTTCTAAATTAAGAAAAGAATGTGGCTTTGAAAGATCACAAATGTTGACTGTTTAGATGTTCTGCATTGCTGCATTGTCAGATTTAAATGTAGGAAACTATAGATTTGGGGTAAATGCATAGCAGCCCGAAGAGGCATTCTGATTAATTATTAATCACGTGACATTTTTAAGCAATACTTACAGCCTACAGCAGCTACCTAGTCACCACTGCACAAGTTAAGTCATAAGTCAGACCCAGATTAATCTGCTTTTGAATCGCATGGCATGGCTACTGAATGGATAGATGAAAACCAGAAGAACCTTCTGAAACTATGGAATCCAAATAAAAGTAAAATTATTAAAAAGTTAATAAAAAATTAACTTCCGGAAATAAAAAGGTAAATAAAAAATTATATTTAAAAACCCACGAGTCAAAGATGGCCTAAGAGAGGACATTCTTAAATAAATGAATTTTATCTGGACAACACATGAACACTGGCAAACCTTTGTTGAACCATTGGCTTTAAGCCAGTTCACTGAAGCACGAATATCCTTTACAGCACCTTGCCAGTCAAGACCATCCATCAAATGCTGTGCTTCTGCAACATCCAGACCAACTTTCCCTCTGTAAAGACTGAAAAAGAAGGAAAAAATCTGCCATAAGACATCCAAATGCAACCTATAATATGAAGTGACGCATAATGAAAATTTTAGAACTTTAGTTAGAGCAAAAATCTTACTCTGGAATAAGAGCTTTGAATCCAGGACCAAGCTGAGAAATCTTCACAGCATGGTTCTTAATTTCAAAGTCCACCCCCCACCATTCTTGGAGCACAACAATTCCAGGTGCATTTTCTTTGCCAACAACATAAGCATCGAATGTCTGATAATTGAAAAGAGAAAAAAAAAAAAAAAGAAGATGAACAACTACTGCATGTAAAACAACATGAAAAATTATGATAGCATATACCACAATAAAAATTTAGATACATCACGATGACAAGGGTTAAAAATGAGTTTGATCTAAAGCACAACACACTGCATTACAGCTAAAAAGCATGGAAAAATATTGGGCATCAGGTCTCATTAGTATAGGCTATAAGATACAACAATTAGTTTCTACTCTGTTACTTGATCTGCCCAAGTTGTTAAACAGAATCTCTAGGTATAAATATTACAGTTTCCAAGTAGAGAACACACTTGACACAAGATAAATGGCATCATTCAGTCTTCTGATTAGGTTTAGAAACAACTTCCTCGCTGTTCAATAGAGCAGAAGGAACAACTTCATAATAGTAGTTTCTCATTCGAAGTTGCTCCATAAACAATGTAGACAGAATTTGAATAACGTTTTAAATGGATGTAAGCATGCTAAAGAGAGGGTGTCGGCAACGGTCCAAGATAATGAGTTTTATTCGTCACCTTCAAAAGGTCATGGACAGTCACAAATCTACGGCAGAAATTCATAAAATCCTCCAATAAAATTAAACTGTGTACGTCATCTAAGCACACCCGCAAGCAAAATAATCTATTTTGACCGCTAAAAGAAAGCAGTGCAGTGTAGTTCTAAAAGCCCAGAGTCACCAACTCAAACTTCTACTGATAAGATCAATTCCCAACAGCACCCAGACTCAACAATATAAAAGAAAAGGAAAGTGACATCAAAAAATCATCTAAAGGCATATGTCAAACCCTGAGAACGAAAAATTGGCCGAGATGCAAGTCGGATAACAAATTCGGAAAAATTGCCAGACCAAAAATTCCGAAATCTATTAACTAAAAACAGCAAATAAGTCATGGAGGGAGGGTAGGGGTACTCACAGTGTCATCCCTCTGAATCTGAATTTTCTTGAAAGGAGATGATGTAGAATCAGCCATGGAACGGACTGAGGTGCGGGAAGCAGAGAGGGGAATGAAGTTTGAAATGGAGAAAGGAGGAGGAGACTTGCGAGGGATTGCTCTGAAGAATCTGGAAGCAGAGGATGCCAGAACAGCGAACATTCCTCGCTGGGTTTTCACTTCACTGCATTCCTCACTCTCTTGCCCGTGTGGGACTATTAAAATGGTATGATCGCGGGGAGGAGACGAAGCTGCACAACGGTGTCGTTTTTTGCGTTGCGGGGCAAGTGTCAATATAATAATATGCCGGGAAATTGCCCGTAACAAACAATGATAAATATAAAGATTAATATATAATTTAAATTCTTAATTATAAATTCCAGGCAATTTAAATCTTATATTTATAATTGATATATTTTAAACTTTAAATAATTAAATTTAAAATATCCGTGCCCTCATTGTTAATTTAGAATTAACAGTCATTGCCTTAGTTAAAATAGATCCTATCATTTTCTACTTCTCCAAGCTTTCACTCTCCTCGATGTTTCACTGTTGCTTACCGCAAATGCACGAGTCGTAACAAGTAATATAATAAAAGTTAAGCATCATTTCTTTAAGAACTTGTTTAAAAACAATTATCAAGCAAAAGATAAAGTGAGTTCAATTAAGTTGAGTCAAACATAATTAGGTGAAAATGATTTTGAAACTAAATTAACACTAAAAAATAAAGAAAACAAATTGACTCACAGACTTTAAGCACCAATTTGGATCTAAGATTATTTATTCTCTTGTGTCTCATAATGTAACATCCTCAAATTTATAGACCGATTTTTTGCAAGTTATTAATTCAGCAAATCTTTTTTTTTTTACTTTTTTTTTCATTGAACCCTTATCATGGTAGAAAAATTTCTACCATGATACATCCAAGACAATATATCACAGGTTTTAAAATATCTCAAAAAGTAATTAGAACCATGAGGGACAGACATGATTCTCATAGCATATTATTCAAATCAGGTCATAAATTAAAAGGGACAGACATAATCCTCTTGAACATATAAATGCATTTAATAAAAAGGATTAGAGTTTACATGCTCCACAAAGAAGATATGTCCTAAGTTGGCACAAGATACATTGTATAATCTAAAATAAGAGGCAACGTAAAAGATGGTGTCTCATACACCATAATTACACCTCTGGTGCTTTCTCAGCCGGACTCACTCCTGTAAAAATATTAACCACGGGGAATGAGACTTAAAAGTCCCAGTAACCAAAAATTAATATGTAATGATGCATGCGGATGTAACTAATCATGCGATTGTTAAGTGGGCACACAAAACATTTAACCGAACAATATTTTCAAACAAACCAAACAAGTATTTAATTGCATGACTGCACCTTATATCCTCCTTTCACCATGCTCGGACGCCAAATCACCCGGCCAAAGGTGAGTTGGACCAAGCGACACGCCACTCATTGGGTCCAATGAGGGCTTACCACGTGGTAATAATTAACCGAACAGAAATTCCCATTAACACCATACATTAAAATACCCTGACAAGTCATGCATCATTCAAATATCCAAACAGGAATATATCCAAACAATAATATCTCATCATGATAAACAAAAATAAATTTTTAACCCACTTGGCAATAATTTCAAACAAGTATATAGTATTTATTTTCAATAATTCATAATTTTTTCAAACAACAAAACAACACATAATCATTCACAAACACACTCATCACAACACATTAATAATGGTTACCTTGTGTCTTGAATAACAAGTTCCCCTTCACAACTCCTTTTTCACCACTATCTTTGTCAATATAATCTACATAATTATTTCACAATACTATATATTAATTTTACATTAAAATAAATAACTCTAATTTAAAGAGTTAGAAAGTCTTAGATCTATAGTCCATATTAACACTAATTTAAGATTTATACCTCATTTAACTTTCCAAATTCTTTTCTAAAATTCTCGTACCCTAATGAACTATTTTTTTTATCCTCAACTCACTTCTAATATCATAATTTCATCCTTCTATATTCTAAAAATTCATTCAAAAATAAATAAAAAATTTTAGAATTATCCTGAAGCCTCAAATCACCTTTCTATAACCTCAAAAATACCTATTCATACTTAAATAAATATTTAATAATCATAGGTTTATCCCTACGTCTCAGATTCCACATAAATTCAACCATATATATCTAGATTTTAACTCAAAAATTTTTAAACATGAGTTTCAACCTTAAAAAAATATTCTATAATATTTTTTATATCCCTAATAATTTTAACCTATATTTTTAATCCATCATATCATCAGATTAACTATCCTATAGAAAAATCCTAATCAAAATATTTACTCTATCCTACAAAATAATCATATCACTAGAAAGCTAATATTATTTAGAAAATAACTATAAAATTAATTTTGTAATTAAATAAATTTTTAAATGCTAATCTAAATAGGAAAGTTAGAACATACCTGAAGAAAAAGAAAATAATTTCCCCTTGCGAGAAAACACCGAGCAACGTGAGAGGAAGAGAGAAAAATAATATAAAAATGGGATTGTGAGTTCCAAAATTATATTAAAAAAAACTATAGGTTTGAATTTAATTATTCAAACCTTTGGGCCAAAAGTTGTAATTTTCTCTAAATTGCATCTTAGCCTCTCATGCTTCCTAATGCACACACCCCCTCCTTTTTATACATGAAAGCACCTCTTCTCTTCCCTCATCTAACCAATGTGGGACTTAAAAACAACAACCTTCCACCCCTTTTTTTTGTTCCTTCTACCTTCTCTTTTTTTTTTTCAACACATACATAAAAAAAAATTATTTATGTATTATATTTTAACTAAATATTGCTTACGTGATTTTAAATTTAAATTTTTAAATTCATAATTAAATACCTAACCATAATATTATTTCTAAATAACTTCAAATAATATAAATTCCTATTATTATCGTTTTTTTTCTCAAAACCTAAATTCCACAATTTCTTTATTATATAAAAAAAATCAGGATGTTACACATAACACCAAAATCATGTCCTCTCTTAAATGCTTTCAATAAAAAAAAGTGTTAACTTAGAGTTTTAAAAATACATGAATAAGCTCTCTTAAGTCATGAACAAGTATTTAGTTAAATTAATTGCCAAATTTCTTGTTATAATTAATAAAACTCAATTTTTCACTCCAACCCTAATGTGGTTATGCAAGGTTAGCAAGTATATCTCTATCCTACTAGCAAAACCATCCATTCAACATACAAACATCAAGTTCTTGTACTATTTTACCCAAGTTTTACAGTTAACCTAGCCCTCTTAAATATCAATCAAGTGAACCCAACATTTAAATGATGGCCAATTACTTAGAAGCATTAAGAAAAAAGTAAAATAAACACATATATATTATTAATCACAAAAAGAGAGAAGGAACATAATGTTAATCCATATAAGGGTTTTAAATAAGCCTAGAATAAAGTGTTTAGCTACCCATAATAATTTAAAAGATACAAATACATAAAATATATGGACCTATATCAGAATATAAGAGAGAAAAGGGAAGAGGAACAAAAAGATCGAAGAAAACAAGCTCCAAATGTTTTTAAAACTTCGTTCTCTTGGACCTAACTCTTTCAATACCTAAACCCTAGCACACCAAGCTTCAAATGGTTGTTCAAAGTCTGAAGAATGCATTTTGAGTTGAACTCTCAACATATATATGACTTGCCAACCAATTTTTGATAAATAAAATGCAATATTTTTCTGACAGCAGTAAAAGTCACAAACAAAAGTTGCAATTTTTTGATGACTTTGGCATTTTTATAGCTGACAAAAATTATTCAATTTGTACTTGATTTCTTCATCCAAACTCCTTCCAAAAACATTCACAAAGCTCCAGAAGTGCTTCTAATCAAGTCTTCGATCAAAATAACACAAAATTATGCCAAAAAATATCAAATCAAAGTTAAGAATACAAACCCAAAATAAAATGCACATTTTCCTAACTTGGATAATAAAAACATATACAATTGAGCTAAAATGTATTAGAATTTGAGGAAGATGTGATAAAATAACATGAAATTCTAGAGGTTAACACTCACTCTCTTCTTTCTCCTCCCTCTACACCCTCTTTGTCCCTGATAACCTAATGAGCCATGTATCACTAGGATTTCCCTTAAAGCTGCCTAGCTCATCTTAGACTATCATCGTGATTCTCCACAACTTATTTTTCCTATTAATTCTTATAGTGTTTTTGTTGGGTATAACTTACTGAATCTATTTAAAATTAGATTGATGTACACTGTAAATCAAGAATCATTGAAAAGTTCGTGTGTTTACCAGTACTTCAGAGTCCCAGAACTCTATGAAGACATGTTAAAGAATCCGCTTTATAGGAAGGTCTCTCTACATTTGCATTATTTTTCTTCCCTTAAAGATTTCAATTTTACCAATTCGATCATCTGAAAGAAGAAGAATGATATTGTTCTCTGCCTTGAACCTAAGCAAATCATCAAGGATAATTTTCTTAGAGCAAGATCTTTTTGGCTCAATGAAGGAGAAGAAAAAGTCTGTGTCAATAAACGTCGAGTTCTCTATCCTTATCTTCAGCACATTTACACCATTGTTGACAAAATCAAGCTACAGGGAAAACATGATTTGAGGTTGTTTACAATCACCGACCCTATATTGGCAGAGATAAAAGACGGTAGAGACCTGTCTCTTTCACATATCCCTCAACTTTTGACATCATTGCCATAGAATGAAACCTTAAGAACAAGGTGAAACTTGACCTCAAATCATTCTTGAAGGTGAAAAGTAACATCTAAAAAATTTAATCCAAATTAATTAAGTTGAATTGGGCTAATTTATTAAATTAGTATGGTATGTGGCCATAGAGGACTAATGAATATATTGGTTGTAGTTTTAGCCTTAGATTTTGGTTTGGAACAGGGTCAGGTCACTTAAAGCTCGAAAAAAGAAAAACACAATGAAGTGTGGCTCTATGCTAGATGCTATAACACGTAAAGCATGTGCCACGACACATTAGGCTAAAAAACTCAAAAAAATCACTTGGTACCACATATTGCAAAGCATATGACGTGAGGAGAGAATGGAAAGCACTTAACAAGCTGTGCTAGCACTTAAAATCTTAGAGCACTTGAAGCAATTTGGAGCTAGAAAATATT